CGGATTTTCTTTTGGGGGTGATGAAAATGTTCTAAAATTGATTACAAACTTTAAGTGGTTGAATTGTATAGGATGTGAATTATATCTCAGTAAAGCCATTGTTTTGTGTCTTTTGCTCATTGGTTGAGACATTCTGTTTTATAGCTGTGGTTCTCAACCAGGGACAGTTTTGCTACCCAAAGGACATTCGGAGATATTTTTGGTCATCACAACTGATGGAGGAGTGCTACTGGCATCTAATTGGTAGAGACCTAGGATGCTGCTAAACATCCATCAGCGCATGGAACAGACCCCACAGCAACAAAAAGTTTATCTGGCTTATATTGTCAATAGTGCCCATGTTAAGAAACCCTGTTCTCTATGTGTGTTACTCTAGTGATAAGTGACCACATCAATGTTTTTGAAGCACTAAAAGATCATGAATCATCAAACAGATAGATGCTCACTGAATTCAGTTTACTGTGGAAAAGGCTATTCAGTAAGACTGCATCCACCAAAAATGTTTTGTTTCTTTACCTGGTTAAGCCTAAACCTAAATTAATTAGATAATTCAGTTAACCAAAATATTTTATCCCTCAGTTATCCTGATTGAGGTATTTTTGTATTTTGTTTTACTTTGTTATTCATAGCTTCTTAAAGATCAAGTTTATGGGATATAACATCTGCTTGCCATAAAAACAAAAGAAATATACCACAGCATGGCCTTGGGGGTATCATTAAAGGCAACTTGTCCATTTCAAAAATTATCATCAGTTCATGTTCAAGAATAGGAATATGCCCCTAAACTAAGCTAATTTGCTAGGCTTCCCTCTTCAGTCATGCTCCTTTAATGGTATGTATCTATTTGAAATGTCCAAAGACGGGTCCATGGTAAAGGGAGCAGGGATTTCATTATAATATCTAGCATTTCAAATATAATGGCTAACATTTATTGAATCTTACTGTATACTATGTATTATGCAAAGTACCTTGTGTATATTAAATAACTTAATTCTCACAAAACCCTGTTAGAGATTCTTTTTTCTTCTCTCCTGTCTTGAATCCCCTGCATCTTTCCTTAGCATGTTGTACTCCCTCATTTTGGCAAAATATATCTTCCGTTACCTTACAATACCAGTGTCTTTATTCTGCTTTCATTATTGGAAAAGATATTTTGGCTGGGTATAGAATTTTATACAGGATACATTTTTTTTTTCTCTCTCAGAATTTTGAAAGCATTATTTCTTGTCTTTCAGTTTGGAGTATGATCTGTTTTGTATCTCTCAAAGCTCTTGGAATTTCTTTATCTCTGGTGCTTTGAAATGTCACAGTGATGTGCTTTGCTATGGGTCTTTTCTTCAAGCATTTTCCTTAATACTCAGTGAGGCCTTCCACTGTCAAAATTCATTTTCTTGAGTTTAAGGAAAATTTCTTAAAATGCCTCTTTGATTATTCCTTCCCTGTATTTTTTTCTTTCTGGAATGCCTGTTACTTAGAAATTGACTTTTAGAATTTATCCTGTAATTTCCTTACTAGGGGAATTCTGCGGTCTTTTTCTTTGGTGTTTTAGTTCTGCTTTCTGAGAAATTTCTTTAACTCTATCTTAAATGTTTAATTTCAGATAATGTTTAATTCCCAAGAGTTCTTTCTTGTTTTTTAATTGCTTCTTTTTTTATAACTTTGTATCCTGTTTGCTAGATGTTTGTCTCTTATCTCCAAGAACATTAATTAGTTTTTCTCAAGTATTTCTCCTGCAGTCTGACTTAATTCTTATTCATTTGAGTCCCTTCTTGCTGCTTGTCTTTTGGATTAGGTCTCTTTTTTTTTCTAGTAATAAACTTTCTTCAAATATTTAATCATCTTTAACTGTCCATAATGTGTAAGATTCAGGGTTTTTGCCTGCTGATATGATGCATTGAGAAGTGCACAAGAGCGTTTTTATAGTATTCTGACCAAAAAATGCATAACCTAAATTCAGCCATGAAGAAACAATGCACAAACCCAAATTGAAGGATATCCTATAATTAGCCAGTACTCTTTTAAAATGTCAAGATTATGGAAAACAAAGAGACTGAGGTACTTTCCAGATTAAGAAACTAAGGAGACATGGCAATTAAATGTAATGTATGATCCTAGATTGAACCCTGGACCAAGACTAGTAAGATAGTTCGTGAAATTTGAGTAAGATCTGTAGATTAGTTAATGTTATTCCTGGTTTTTTTATGCAACTCAATAGCAAAAACCAAACAATCCAATTTAAAAATGGACAAAGGCTATACATAGATGTTTTTCCAAAGAAGACATACAGATGGCCAACAGACACCTGAAAAGGTGTTCATTATAACTGATAAGGAAAATGCAAATCAAAAGTACAATGAGGTATATAATCTCACACACATCATAATGCCTGTTTTCAAAAAGACAGTAGCAAGTGCTGCCAAGGATGCAGAGATAAGGAACCCTTATGCACTGTTGGTAGGAATGTAAATTGGTACAGCCACTATGAAAAACAGTATGGAGATTTCTAAAAAAATTGAAACTAGAACTGCCATATGATTTAGCCATTCTCTTTTGGGGTATTTATCCAAAGAAGAAAAAAATACTAACTTGAAAATACACATGCACTCTCATGTTCAAAAATACATACACACACACACACACACACACACACACACACACACACACACCATGGAATATTATTCAGTCATAAAAACAGAATTAAATCTTGCCATTTGCAACACCATGGATGGACCTCGAGGGCATTGTGCAAAGTGAAATAACTCAGAAAAAGACTAGTAATGTATGCTCTCACTTACATGTGGAATCTAAAAACAAAACAAGCAAAAACCAAGCTTATACAGAACAGATTGGTGGTTGTCAGAGGCAGGGGATGAGGAGTGGGGTAAATCGGTGAAAGGAGTCAAAAGATACAGACTCACAGTTTTAAAATAAATAAGTCATGAGGACTTACTGTATAGCATGGTAACTATAGCTAATAATACTGTATCACATATTTTAAGTTGCTAAGAGAGTAAATCTTAAAAGTTCTCATCATAAGAAAAAAAAATCTATAACTATGCTTGGTGACCAATGTTAACTAATTTTGTAATGGTGATTATTTTGCAGTATATACAAATATTGAATCATTATGTTGTACATCTGAAACTCATATAATGTTGCATGTCAATTATTCCTTAATTTTTAAAAAAATTAAGCATGTGGATGGATACATTCAAGAAAGTCTCAGAGAAGTTACTTAACTTAATCCTAGTTCCCCTGGTGAACTAGGATTGGAAGGGGAGGAGCTAGGATCAGAGGGTCAAGGTTTTCATTAGCTTGCGTGTGTGCTAAGTCGCTTCAGTTGTGTCCAACTCTTCACGACCCTATGGGCTGTAGCCTGACCCATCTCCTCTGTCCAAGGGGATTCTCCAGGCAAGAGTACTGAGTGGGTTGCCATGCCCTTCTCCAAGAGATCTTCCTGGCTCAGGGATCAAATCTGCATTTCTTGTCTCCTGCATTGCTAGACTGGTTCTTTACCACCAATGCCACTCATAAACTTACTTTAAATCAATTGAGATTATGGGTGACAGATATTTACAGTCTGATATATATATATATATATATATATATATATATAAGAATAAAGAATAAAAGATTGAATATCAGGAAAAAAAAAAAAGATTGAATAAACAGAAGGGTTAATATTTCCTCTAAAAAGGGTTTGCCTAGTTTTGATCATTGTGCTACGGTTATGTGAGATGTTAATATTTGGGGAAGCTGCAGACTTTATTCTGAAAATATTTTTCTGCCTTATCTTTTTTCTCTGTCTCTCTCTTTTTCTCTTTTCTTTTCCTTCCTCCCTTCTCCTTTCTGGAACTTCACTGCCATATCTATTACACTGCTTGGTATTTTACCACAAGTCCTCTTTTTTTATATTATATAAATTCTACTGATGTATCTTCAGGTTCAGAACTTTTCTCTAGTCATTTTCAATCATATGTTAAGCCGATCCACTGATCTTCAATTCGTATATTGGATTTTTTAGTTATATATGGATTTTAAGCTATGCATTTAACTCACTTTTATAATTTCCATTTCATTTTATATTTTTAATTTCTTTTATAGATTCCCCATATATTTGTTTATTATGACCTTATTTTCCATTTTATGTCCTTGAACATCTCTGTAACAGTTACTTTAATTTTCCTTTCTGCCAGTTCCAAGATCTGGCTTATCTTGTCCGTTTCTATTAATTACCTTTTGCTTCTGAGTCCTGTTTTTCTATTTCTTAGTAAGCTTAGTGACTTTTATTGTATTCGGACTGTGTAAGTGGCACATGATGAAGACATTGAGTTTGATCATCTTTCCCCGAAAAGATTTTTGTTACAGCAGGTTGGTAACTGAATTCTAAATGCTAGCTTCCCTAGGAAAACATCAACTGTGAAATCTATACTGAGTCCTTTCAGCCTTTAGGAATTTGGGTAGAGTTTATACATAGATCTAGAGGGACTCTCATGGCTTCTTCCTTTTGGGAGTTGTACCCCTCACTTTCCAGTTAGACTGTTGACTTTAAAGTAAGTTTTCAGACTCCTCAAATGAGTAAGATTTCAGATTTCTCTTTGAGTTCCAGTCGTTCAGATGAATTGTGGAGTATTGCCAGGTGAAAAGCTGTATAAACAGGAATCCTACCTAGTACAGTTCATTCTTTCAAGGACTGACTCCTTTTTAGTTTCTTCTTGCTTTTGGTCATTCTGTGTTGCTTTCAAATAGTTGTTTAATATATTTTCAGAGTATATAGTTATTATCTTCAGAAGGCTCAATGTAATTTAGTCTATTCTGCCTTTACCAGAAGTTGTACCATATCACCTTTTATTTTCCATTGATTTTTTTCTTTCATAGGGTTAAACAAAGAAACACAAAAAACTTCTATATATTTTTATGAATGATGACAATAGCTCTCCAAGTTTTCCAGAAAGATCAAGCATATTACTAATGTTATTTTTTTCTTTTTTCTTTTGTAGACAAGAGATGATTTCCTAGGTCAAGTGGATGTTCCTCTTTATCCATTACCGGTTGGTATAGATGTCCATGATTTTACTTTTTATGTTTATTCTTTTTATTTTAATAAATCCTTAACAGATACACAATATAGTATATGTAAATATATGATTTATAAAATGTGTACTGCTATTAATTCTTGAGCCTCTTATTTTCTGAAAATATCTCAATTTTCCATTTTAATTTGAAGATTCCCTTATATGAACCCCAGTAAGAAATAGAGATGGGATGGGAATTTGGGGGAGATTGAAAATACTATATGTATGGCTGGATCACTTTGCTATGCACCTGAAAGTATCACAACATTGTTAATTGGATATATTCTAATTAAAATAAAAATTTAAATTTTTTTTAAAAAGGCCTAAATGAACTTAGAAGGTATGACAAGAGCCTGAATTTTAAAAAAAAAAAGAAAGAAATAGAGAGCCCCTGAAGTTGGTTGACATCATGAAAGCATTGTTTGAGGAAGATCAGTTTGAAAATATTTTACTGAAAAACTAGACTGGGGAAAGCTTAGTTTCACAGAAAGAAACTGATCAATTACAACAACATGGGCATGAAAGTGAATCTGGACCAAGCATATAGCAACAGAAGAGAACAGATTCAGGAGATATTTCATTACAGGATATTATTGGACCAGGAACTCCAGTTGAAATAAACAAAAAAGGCAGAAAGTAAAGATAATACATGTTGAACTTGGGAGATAAGGGTGGTATCTCAAGCAGAAAGAGTAGGAGGAAAGCCTTTGTTTTTTTAAGATATGGTAAGTTTATTTTTGGCCATATTGCATACCAGTAGAAAACAAGAAAAATGAAACTTAAAGCAGGCAACTGAAGAGGTATAAAAATAAATTGTGTAGGGAAAAGGGTCTGGAAGGATTGAGAGTTATCACTGATGAGGTAACTGCAGAATCTCTGAGAAGGATGGACTGTCCAAATGAGAGGGATGAAAGTGTTGAAGGCCAAACACTGAAAGTTCATCACTGCAGTTCTGTCAGGGGAGAAAGAGAAGACAGACCAAGAGAATACAGAAAAGAACCAAGTGAAATGTTGTCATGAGAATTTAAGAGTTTCTAGATGTAATGGGTAGTTTAACAATGTCAAATGCAGCAGGGAAGTAATGAATAATAAAAACAAAGGACTGTTGAACTTGTTAAGAAAGAGAAGTAGTAATTCTTGATCAATCTTTCAGATGTTTATTGTCTCTCTACAGTCTTTACACATTGCAAACTTTTAATAATGAATTTAATTCAGTCTTATTTTCCAAGCTGCTTACTTTCTTTGTTCTAGAATTGCCTCTGTGGTCTAACCATGCCAACATTTTATTGAATACATATTCCATATTCTTTTGGGGCGCAAACACACTAACCATTCTCTAGTGTTTTTCTGCTTTTACCCTCCTTTTGGCTTCATGAACACCTGCTTAGATAGTTTCATACTGACTTATGCTGCCAGGAGCAATTCCTACAGTGCAGGAAAGTGAAAGTACTGTCAAATCACCAATTGTAACCATTTAATAAGCTAAATCTACTTTTTTCTGACTTCTAACTTCAGTTATGCCTTAGGTCATAGTTTATGAATATTCTTGAAAAGTATAAATTTTTGTTGTTATAGATATATCTTAAAAACCCACTGTTTTATTCTAGACAGAAAATCCAAGAATGGAGAGACCATATACATTTAAGGATTTTGTTCTTCATCCAAGAAGGTTAGTAAATATAAAATAATAGCTTATGGAGGTTTTTTAAAAATATCATTATACTTTACAGTAGCCTCTTTGGAAAATCAGTTTAAACCTTTGTAAATAAGCTACTTTTAAATATTAGTTTTTTAAAGCTTTGTTGCTATTTCTGATTAAAAAGTAATTTCTGGTGATCTCGTGGTTCGGACTTCGCCTACCAGTGCAGGGGGTGCAGGTTTGACCCCCGATCAGGGAGCTAAAATCTCACATGCCTCACAGCCTAAAAACCAAAACATAAAACAGAAGTAATATTATAACAAATTCAATTAGGGCTTTAAAAATGGTCCACATCAAAAAATCAAAAAAAGTTATATATTCACAGTACAAAAATTCTGAAAATATAGAAAAGTGATCATACCCCTTTGGGAAGGACTTTTCTCCCTAATATTTATCAGACTAGAAGAATGAAATATGTCATTAATTTATATGTATTTTATATCTTATGCTGTGTGTAATTTTGTCATACTGTGTTTTGAAAAATTGCAAACATCAGTTTATCTAAGAAAAAATACCTAGGGAGTTCTCTGGTGATCCAGTGGTTAGAACTCTGTACTTTCACTGTCATAGCCCTGGTTCAGTCCCTGTAGGGGAACTAAAATCCCCTAAGCTGCGTGGCACAGTCAGGAAAGAGAATCCAACTTGATATGAAAACATTTTCAAGGAAATGTAACTACATTTTGCATACTTTCATTTAAAAAAATTTCAGAAAACTCAAATATTTAGAGAAAATAACATGAGCAAAGACTGTAATTTAAAACCCAAATAGCATGTTCATAATTCCATTTTCCTAAACTGAATTACTTGATTTTTGTCAAAAACTTTTAAGTTTAAACTTTAAATAAAACACCTTTTGATCTTCTGTACCACATAATCTAGTAAAATCTAGTTAAGACATGTATGGGAATTTACTGACAAAAAGGTCGAAGTAAAGCCGAGGAAGGACATCTGTGCAAAACTATTTGTTTTCTCTTTAAAACTAGAAAATGCAAATGAACTTAGTAAAATTTTTGATTAAAAAATTTAAATATTCATTGTAATATAAATTTAAATAAAGGGAACAGTGGTCTTTGACTGTGTTCATATTTTCTGTCTATAAGAGAAGTCACATTTAATTTCTGTAGAAGTCGTGCAATGTGAGTCCCTTTTCTTGCTTTAATTATGAACTGATTGTGACATCTGTATACCAAGAATAACTAAATAGTTCTTCTCTTATTTGGTTGCCCTAGTAACCTGCTTTTCAATTTGTTGAATGCTTTCTGGTGTCTTTATCTTTAAAACACTATAACAGCTTACACCTTCTGTCTGCACTGGGTATTGCTGCAAGTGCAGAAAGAGTTTTATCCAACTACATTCTTAGATTTTTTTTGAACATCAATAGATTTAAACCCACAGGCTTATTATCTAGCTGGAAAAACGTAATAAAACCTATCAACTCTCCTATAAAATATTACCTGAGTAAGTTTTCTGTATCTATCTTTTATAAGAAGTCATAGAGTGTTCATACCCCCTTGACTATGGAGACACGAGTCACATCAGTGGTCTGGAAATAAGTATTGGGGGGTTTACTGGCCAGTCAGAGAAGGACACTTTCCAAATCCATGAGAACTGTGTAGAGAACAACTAAAAAGAATAAGAGTGGCATAGGGGAGTACCTCTTGAAGACAAGAGGAAAGATTAGGACTCTTATGTCTTATTACATAACTGGAATCTATAAAAATTATTCAAAAAACCAATATAGAAAGCCATGACAAACAAGGATTTCCTAAGTAAACAGAATGCTATTATAGAATTGGTGGGGGCAATAGACAGAGTTAGGTCTTAAGTTAGAATCTTAAGAAAGACAGGTTTTTTTAAAAAATTGAATAAGGGGACTTCTCTGGTGGTCCAGTGGTTAAGACTTCATGCTCCCAATGCAGAGGGCATGGGTTTGATCCCTGGTCAGGGAACTAAGATCCCACATGCTGTGGGTATGGCAAAAATAAATTTAAAATTTTTTAAATTAAGTATTACTACTCTGGGCAGCAACCCTTAACTTAGACAACTCATTTTTATAAGAGGTGGTATGAGATACAGTATGAAAGTAGGTTAGATAAATTACTATATGACAGATTCAAACAGCTGTCAAAGACATTAGGTTTCAGATAGTTATCTGACCTTGCTCTCTACTTTTCTGTTATCTTATACAACATGGCTAGATTATTATCCCTAAAGCACATCTGTGAGGATGCCTTTCCCTATCCTCCAAATTATATGCAAAATAAAATCTAAAAGTTCTACTTCACACAGACCTCATCAGCTGGACCATTCCCACCTCCTTTATATACCCTGTAATTCAGCCTGTCTCAGCTACTTCCATTTCCTTAACTGCACCCCTGGTTTCCCATCTATTTCCTTATTTTTGCCCTTTTCTCTACTCTTACGCCTTTCCCTGACTGCCATAGATCAAAATCCTCCCCAGTCTTCTAGCCCAACTCAGATACCAGCTTCTTTTTCAAGACCTCTCTGATCTTTCACTTAAACTTCCACAGTTCCTTATTTATCTCATAACAATTATTTGTTTATGGATGTTTCTTTTTCTCCACCATCTATTCCTTTTCTTCTGCATTGAAACTTGTCTTGAATCTCTCCTAGTAAGCTAGTAGATGTTCAATGAACTCTTATTGAATGAATAGTTTTCTTCTTAGTGTTAAAGTTGTGTGAATTATTATTTTCTTTCTACAGTCACAAATCAAGAGTTAAAGGTTATCTGAGATTAAAAATGACTTACTTACCTAAAACCAGTGGCTCAGAAGACGATAACACAGAACAGGCTGAGGAATTAGAGGTGAGATTTTATAAATATTTGGTTAAACTAAGAAGAAAAATATCCAATTTCTTATTTTACTATACTCTAAAGAAAAAATAACTACTTAATAAAGTTAAATGTGTGCAATAAAAATTACTTCCCTAGACATTTGCTTATTTTACCCAAGAATTTGTTAAACATTTCTTTCCTCTAAGGATATTTCTGTGAAATGAATGGCCATTACTGATGGCATTTTTAAAGCTTAAGGAATAGAGATTACAATGTTTATGAATGAAAGCATTTGTTGTAATTAAGTCATTAACTGTTTCTAGTTTTTCAGAGTTTTCTAAAACCATGTCATGTGCCCCCTCTATTAAAGTAAGAACAGGATTTATTGTTTGAAAGTTAAATATATGGAAAATTTGAAGATGCTAATTAGGAACTCCTTTATGAAGTGTAATTCCTGTTACCTTTGCTATCATGGTTGGAGTGGGTGTGGGAGGGCTCATAGAAAAGGAGACTAAGAGAGAGAAAAAAAATTCAACTGATCTAATAAAAAGCCACATTTATTGGGGGCCAAAAGAGGTTAACCATCTTCATGGGTGACAGGATAAGAGGCAGCGCAGTCAAGGATTTGGGCAGAGCCACCTGCTTTTGGGGTAAGTGAAGAAGAGGCAGAGAACATGTATTTGGAGTAGAACTGGCCAGGGACTTGGGGCCTGGAGCCCCAGCCGCAAGCCCTGCCGCTTGTGAGCTGAGTGACCGTGTGAGCCTCAGCCTCTCTGGACTTCAGGTTCTCCCTCTGCAGAGTGACAGGGTGTACTGCTACCCTCTAGGGTTTCTTCCAGCACAAAAAGTTCGTGATCTGAAGAGGGAGCAAAAACATTTGCCCCTTGAGGTTCCCACTTAACAAACACTATCATCAGAAGGGAGCACCTTATTCTAACCACATTGACTGCACCCTTGCTGCGGCATTGGTTTGCTTTGGAGGGCTTGTGTGTGTGCCTCCTCTCAGGAGTCCTGCTTTTGTGATGAAGGGTCTGCTAAAGTCTCCAGAAGGACCGTCAGGTTGAGGGACCCTTCCCCAGGGCTGGGCTCTGCATCACACACCCAAACATCTTGAGAAAATTTGATACCAAGCAGTGCTTTTGAGACAAAGATTCCTGGGAATTTTTTTTTTAATATGCACTAATGAGATTTTACTTTGTGGGGGAATCTATAACAACAGAAAGAAAGAACTTTTTTCTTTAAATAGTTAGCCTTATTACTCTGGTGACCAAAGAAACTTAATATCCTCTCTCACATCTAATGCCCTTATTTGATACCTCTTTTTTTTTCTTTTTAGTTTTTCTGTGATGTGTCATATAATAATCTTTTTTTTTAAAATTTAGGAATTTATTGAGTTGAATTTTCTCTCTAACTGGCATTTTAGTACACAGGGAAACCTGAATAATGGAATTCTGTTTGAAATGAAGGATGTCTGCTATAAAGAAAGAAAATTCTTTATTTAGTAACTTAAAAATTTTTAACAGCATTTCATTATTTGGTAACCTGCTCCAAGTTTTGCCCACACGCATGTATCACAGGTACCTTATTCACAGTTCAGTTTCTGTGGGTAGAGCTGCTTCGCTTCATTTTGTGGTCTCATGTCTCAAGTTTGAATTCCCTCAGAATGCACCTTATAATTTCAGTAGATGTAAGCATGTAGGAGTTTATTTATGAAAGGCCCTAGGAATTCAAACACATGAATCTGTGCTTATTTATCTTCTGTGTAGCTAATGACCAGAGAAGTCTTGTCTTTGACATCTGGTTTGTGACTGAATATATAAAATTCTACCATTTAAAGAAAACAGTTGTAATTTTCAAAAGAGGCTCACTCTTAGGCAGTGTGTACCCTGGTAGGATAAAGTTTGGTAAAGTGTGACTATAGTACATAATTATGTAATATTTTTTTTTGTACCCCTTGTAACTTTAGGTTTAGCTCTATGTATTTTATGTGATTACTACATAATAATGTTTGGTGTACCTCTGAATCCTTTCTTTTTGACCATCTTTGACTGTTAAATTGTGGGCAGTTGCACGTTAGCTTTGAGGTTAGTAATTGAGTAACATACATTGATCCTTAGAAAATTATTTTGTGAAGAATATTAGCTGATACATGTTTAATAGGGAGGCATTCTATACTGAAAATGAAAAACCGTTCTTTCTAAACAATGTTCATATTTAGAAATGAGTAAACAAATGAGTAACTATGCTTCTTCCTTGAACTGAAACAGGTTTTTAAAAAATAGGCCCTTAATTAAATTAGTTTTTTTCCCCTCCAGAAGTTTACTTGCGTAACATAAACTCAATAAAAAGACCTTTAATAGAGAAATCTTTTAAGAAGATTCTAAAATATTTTTGGTACCATTTTCCAAGCTCTGAATATTTTTATAATCCTTTACAGCAGTAGGGAGGACCTTTTTATTAATGAATTTTATTAATCTGCAGAAATATAATCAGTGACCATATTTTTAAAAATTGGTCCTTTTTTTCCAAGAGGTTGAAATATAAAAATTCAACTCACATGCTTTTAAAATTGAGACCAGAGAAATAAAATGTGATTCGATATGTACAAGACTGATTTTTAGGTATATAGTTTTTCTATCATGATCATTTAAAGGAAAGGAAGCGAGAGAGAGAGAAGGAAGGTAAGCACAGATGGAGAGGAAAGGTAGAGGGAAGGGAGAGAGAATGGAGTTCCTGGCAATAAAAAGAAAGAAACAAAATTAGTGAGATGTCAGTTCCTACAGAAGAGATAAAAAGAAAAAAAATAAATAATGAGAAAGAGAAGGAATCTCTTTTACTTCCCATCCATATCTCTTTTCCTGGACCCCTCTCCTATGCCTCACCTTCCATTCCACCTCAGTCTATAACCCTCTCCTTGGAACTAGCCAAAGATCAACCCTGCTGCAACCTTATCCTGTTCTGTCTGCTGCCAGAAAATGATCGTTTTCTTCCCGAGGTCTCCCTGACCCTTCCTGTTCAGACCCCACCTTCCAAGAGAGAAGAATTCTTTTCTGTCTTCTAAACCATCAACTGGCTGGCACGGCAGTCCTCCAATGCTAGATCCCCAATGTCTAGGAAGGAAAAAAGACTCTTTATATATTAAGGAAATTATTTTTTACCTATTATTATGGTACCAAATATGTTCCCCAGTTTGTCTCTCTCTCTTTTTTTTTTTCACTTTTATTTAGTAGTTTTTGCCATGTACAAATTTGGGGGATTATAATCAAATTACTCAGCCTCTTAGGCCATCTGGGTTTGATGTCATACTTAATGGATTTTTTTACTCTTAGAATATACTTTTTTAATATCCCTAGATTTGTTCTAATACATTTTGGTTTTACTTTGTAACATTTTAAATATTGCTCAATCTGTAACATTCTGGTTACAAGGTATGAAGTAGCAGTCCAGATAATTTTTCATTCTTTTTTTCTAAGTAATTTGCTTATCTTCCCACAGATTTGAAATGCCTCTATCATATACTGAATTCTATAAATTGGATTCTCTTTCTTAGCTTTCCAATTCTATTAATTAATTGTGGTTTATGATATGTTTTATCTGATAAAGTTTATCTTCACTCTTTTTTGGAATTGTGCCGATTATTTTTGCTTGTTTTTGTGTCTATTTGAATTTGAAAATTGCTTTGTCATGTTATTTTAAAAAATCCATGATGTAGTCTTATTTAAATCTTGACAACTTTATAAATTAACTTGGGGAGAATTGATGTGTTTGTGAGGTTAAATCTCCCTAGCCAAGATCACATTGTCTTTTCATTCACTCAGGTCTTCTCTTGTGTACCTTTTAGGAGAGTTTTCAAGTTTTCATTGATAGTTTATTTATGCTTCCTAACCATATCGATGTTTAGCAGAACCTTTTCCTGACTGCCTTCTCTGTTTTGAGGTTTCTCGTATAAAATCATGTCATTAACCCTTGCTACTTTTTTCAAATAATTCCTTACTCTAACTACCCTAGCTAAGGTTTTTTTGTATGTTTGCCGCTTGCTAGTCTCAGAGGAAATTTCCAGTGCCTTCCTAGCATATAAACAAAACAAAACTTTCTTTCTTTGGCTGTTTTATGACTTGACCAAAATGCCATTCCATGGTCCAGAGGAGAAAGAGAAAAGTCAGACCAGAGAATCATAATGTCTTTTCAATCACCATTTCTAAATCATTTGCCCTTCCCTATCATGCCTCTACATGTTTGACCTTCATACAGCAATTTTTTTCAGGTTTCAGAGAGTTATTTACTTCCACAATTAGCAAGGTGCTTGCTCTCTGAGAGAGACAATACCCAGTAAGACATGATCCCTGCTTATAATTTAGAGAATAGTGCAAGGTTGAACTGTGCTTCTCCATTTCTTAGTGTCTTCCAATGCTGTTTATTTTAAAGTTTTCCAAGTTCTTTTTCTCCTATTAGACATGTTTTAATTTTTTTCAAAAAAATTAAAAAAAAATTAAATTCAAGCAAAATCTAAGTGTTATCATTTTGGGGGAAAAAAAAAACAACCTTCATTATCATCAGATATTCCTGTTAGGTGTTAAAACTTGACAGTGTGCTCATTCTGTCTGCATAGTTTATGAAACTGGGTATGCTTAATCTCTTAAAATTTCCTCTAGCATAATTTATGGGCTTTCCAGGTGGTGCTAGTGGCATTAATTTATAAGGTTAAAAAAAGTTAAGCATAAACTTAATTGTCACCATTCTGTTTTTCAGCCTGGCTGGGTAGTTTTGGACCAACCAGATGCTGCTTGCCATTTGCAGCAGCAACAGGAACCTTCTCCTCTACCTCCAGGATGGGAAGAGAGACAAGATATCCTTGGAAGGACCTACTATGTAAACCATGAATCTAGAAGAACACAGTGGAAAAGACCAACCCCTCAGTACGTGCTAGTGACTTTTGTGTTTGTAATCTGAATACATTTTGACCACTGATTTTCATTTTGAAGTCATGACTCAAATGGATTCATAATAGTATGGGAATCCAAAGACTGCAAGAATACTAGGATTTTTTTTATGGCACAGGGCATAAAAAGTGCTATCATAGGTGTTTCTTTCTTAAAATGATTTGATAGTATTAAAAAGTATTTGAATTACAAATATCAGCCTTCTGATTGCTTCTTTAATTTTAATGAATTGTCAGTTATTTCTGTTTTAAATTATTATATAGCCACAAAAGGAACATTTTTCTTTCTAGACTGATTTAGAAAATCTTGGAGATTTTTTAGTTTGTTACTAAAATATAATGAGAAGTTGATTTCTACAGCACAGTGTTTTTAAAACAGAAATTACTTATAAAATATAAAGGACTCAATAATAAGTTCTTTTGTTAAACACCCATTTACCAGTCTGGTGAATGTGTACATAATTTCTGATGTATCCAAATCAAGGACAGAATGGCCTTTCAGGCATTCTGATTTATGTTTCCTCAGTGATATTTTTCTTTTATTATCATCGGACTGGTATTTATAAATGGGGCTTTTCAGGTGGCACTAGTGGTAAAGAATCTGCCTGCCAGTGAAGGAGATGCAAGAGATGTGGGTTCAGTCCCTGGGTCGGGAAGATCCCCTGGACTAGGAAATGGCAACCTGCTCCATTATTTTTGCCATGGAAAATACCATGGACAGAGGAACCTGGTGGGCTATGGTCCATGGGGTCACAATGAGCAACTGAACACACACACATGGCTCAAGCACTTTTTTTTTCTTAATTTTGGCTGCATTGGGTCTTCATGGCTGCACACACAGGCTTCTCTTTTTCCAGTGTGAGGGCTATAGAGTGCATGGGCTCGGTAGTTGTGGCGTTCGGTCTTCTCTAGTTGCAGCATGTGTCCTCTCTGTTTGTGACACACCAGCTTAGTTACCCTGGAGAAGGCAATGACACCCCACTCCAGGACTCTTGCCTGGAAAATCCCATGGACGGAGGAGCCTGGTAGGCTGCAGTTCATGGGGTTGCTAAGAGTCGGACATGACTGAGCGACTTCATTTTCACGCATTGGAGAAGGAAATGGCAACCCACTCCAGTGTTCTTGCCTGGAAAATCCCAGGGATGGCGGAGCCTGGTGGGCTGCCGTCTGTGGGGTTGCACAGAGTCGGACACTGCTGAAGCAACTTAGCCGCAGCAGCAGCAGCAGCTTAGTTGCCCACGGCTTGTGGAATCTTAGTTCCCCGACCAAGGATTGAACCTGTGTCCCCTGCAATTGGAAGGCAAATTCCTAACCACTGGACCACCAGGGAAATCCCCAAGCACTTTTGTAGATGTTTTCTGTTCTCAGATGCTTCCAGAGCAAGTTGATGATCCAGCTACTTCGTGTCACAGAGGCATTGCTCTCTGTAGAATGGCATACAGATTACAAGACTGAATGCATGATAAAATTCTGAAACTTCTTGTTGTATACCTCTGTATTGTGGCAAGCCTGACTTGAGCAGAATCACATTTCGTTCACTGTGGTTGAGGTTGCTTTCAGCCAGCAAAAATCGTTTATTTAGGGGGTAAAAATGTATGAGGCATTCCCTTAGGACCACTATGTTTTCTCCAGCAACTATACAGCAAGAATTGGTCTTCTGAATATCCTGGGCTTATATGGCACTAGGTAAATTAACAGTAATCTTATTATTAAATACTTATGCAAAATTCTTGATCTTATGGTCTGGCTATATTAAACATGACTAGCTAGAGTAGTATAACTAATGAATGACTGCGGAAAGGATATGCAGTCTGATCTACCATGCCTTTCCTAAATTCAGACACTCCTTTACTACTGTGCTTTTTCAGAACAGGCCCATTACTGTATATGATAAAAAAACAGATACCATTTAATCTATAATCTATTACGTTTTTAATTACGGTGTCCTTATACTGTCTTTCCTTCTGCCTTCTACATTCATGCATGGGAAACTAGAGGGCAGACCCTTGGCTTGAGACCAGTTCTGGAAAATGTTACTTTCTAATTCATGAAGATATAAATGCAACTCTTAAAAAGCTTCTGTTTTATGAACTTTCTAGAGCTACTTCAGATTTTACTCTTGTAATAACATGGTGAAATAATAATATAATAAAATTACTTATGCAACACTCAGGTGTTCATTCATTCAACAAATATTTTTGAGTGCCCATACACAGGAGACATTTTCCTAGGTACAGTGATGAAATATTATGCACGTTACCCATTTTCACAAAAACTTTTAACTCCATAAGGTACTCTGAGGGTACTGTTGTGCCTACAACTTAACCTGAGCATGTTGAACTAGCCTTTGGGTCCAAACAATGAATTCTGATCTAATATGGATACTTTCTAAATGAACACAGAATTTTTAAGCTATCATTTTAACTCTCATCAGGCGTGAGTGATGGCTTTTACATTTCTAATGCAGGGACAACCTAACAGATGCTGAGAATGGTAACATTCAACTGCAAGCCCAGCGTGCATTTACCACCAGGAGACAGATATCTGAGGAAACAGAAAGTGTTGACAACCGAGAATCTTCTGAGGTAGAAATCATTTTCTTGTTCTTGTTGGTAGATATATGTTATAGCAATTGATTCAAGTATGTAGCTTAAGCTTCTGTTCATTTTAGAACTGGGAAATTATAAGAGAAGATGAAGCCACCATGTACGGCCATCAAGCCTTCCCTTCATCTCCACCATCAAATAACTTGGATGCCCAGACTCATCTTGCAGAAGAATTGAATGCCAGACTCACTGTTGGTGGAAATTCAGCCAGTGGCCAGCCAGTATCCAACTCAGTAAGATGCTTCTTAGATTTTGGTGGAGCTTCAGGATTTTATATTTTTATATATAAATATTATATTTGTATTTTATATATAAATACATGTGGACTTCCCTGGTGGCTCAGTGGTCAAGAATCCGCCTGCCAATGAAGGAAATGTGGGTTTGATCCCTGGGTCAGGAAGATCCCCTGGAGAAGGAAATGGCAACCTGGCAATATTCTTGCCTGGGAAATCCCATGGACAGAGGAGCCTGGTGGGCTACAGTTCATGGGGTTGCAAGAATCAGACATGACATAGCAACTGAGTATACACACACACACACACACACACACATATGTTATTCCATTCACTATTTAACCTTTGCATAAAATGTTGTCTTTTTTCTCCATTTTTGTTGAGATATAATTGACATTATAATACATTGTATTAGTTTAAGGTGTAGAACATAATGATTTGATCTATGTATTGCAAAATTGTAAGTTTAGTTAATATACAACACCCGTGTTTTTTTTTCTTGTGATGACAAAATATTGTCTTAAGCTGCACATAATAATGTGTTAGGGACTTTTGTACTTTACAGTATGGCCATTTTCAAATATCCCCACTAACAGTATGGAGCAGAGCTGTAGAAAATCCAAATGGTCGTTGGAGTCTAATTATCTATTACATAAATCAATGCCCTCAGCCATAGACTATTAGGAACACACTTGTAATTGAACAAGTTGAGTTTATTACTCATTCCCGCAAGGGGAATACAAACCATGAACATCTCGGTAATAGTATGTTCTGAAAGACTTAAAGGATTTCAGCTTGTGTTAGGTGATTTTCAGGAGGGTTTAATGAAGCAGGACCTCACATTGGATGCTATCAGGAAGCAGGGATAATTCTGTGATGTGGTGTCTTAAATCTTATCTGTAGCAAGGCTAAAGCTATGATTAGCAAAAAGCAGCAGTCACTTGTATCTGCCAGGATAGGGAGATATTTGGTATCTTGTGGTTTGGACAGTGTTCATGTTTTGCTGTGTTTAGGCGTGATTACAAAGTAGTCTTGATTTTGTCTTGAATTGTGCTGAGTACCAGGCCAAGTCCTGGGTGCTTGGGGTTACTCTTCTCCTTTTCAGGGATACCACACATGTCACCAACACACATGTGAAAAAGAGCTGATATACTTTGACTAAACAAGGAGATAGATGACCTTCTCACTCCAGCAGCCACTATAAACTTGCTATCTCTGGGGTCCAGAAGCCAGTATTCCCACATACACTGCCCTGATGGGATCCTGATCCTTGTGGCTAACTCTCTCATCTGTATCAAGGGAGACATTTCAATGGAAGACAAAGAGGTGTCCAAGGATATTGTGGTCATTTCCTTTTGGAATTCTGCACTTTCCATTCCGTCAGTAAATATGGAGGGCTGACTACATACTGGTTTTATGCTGGTTAAAATATCTTTAGAATACAGTTCACCCATCTGTTTAAGTATTGCCTATGGCTGCTTTCACAGTAAATTAACAGAGACGATATAGTCAACAAAAACTACTTACTATCTGGACCTTAACAGAAAAATTTGCTGACTTCTGTTTTAGCACCTTTCTCATGATGCTTCAGTGTAGACAGTTCTATGTAAATGTCTGTGTGAATATCCAAGAGCAGATAGGCCTGCCTGCTCCCTCTATCTTCCATCCATCTATCTTCCATTCATGTCACTGCATTTTTTTGTTTGAGGAGTGGGAAAGATCAGTCAAAGACTTAAAGGATAAACTATATTGATTTTTCTGCTGACATCCTATTCTTTTTCCTCCTGTTATTTTTATTTTTTTAATTACTAAAGTAATAGGTGGCATCTATACAATGGCATACTATGTAGTCACTGAAAAGAATGAAGTATCTTTGAATACATATGTTGTATGGAACAAAGAACTATTGCTCAGTGGAAAACTCAGGTACTGAGCAGTGTGTTTGATGTGTTACCATTTATAAAATTATTTACATGACAGAATAAATATGTGTATCATATTTCTTGAAAACTAAACTAGGTAACCTTGCTCAGCTCTAAAGAGAAAAACATGGTGAGCAGAGCATATATCTTTCATACCTTTTGAATTTCTTACCATGTGCATATTAATTCAAAAAAGTTAATTTATTATTTTTAAAGTATTGTATGGTCATGGTTAAAAAGTGAAACAGTACTGAGGTGTATAAAATAAAAATTAAGTTTTCCATCTTACCTCTGACATATGCTCCATCAATTGCCATTAATGGTTTGGCATATATTGTTTTTTAAATTTACTTTATTGAAATATAGTTGATTCACAATGTTATATTAATTTCTGGTATACAGCACAGTGATTCAGTTATATATATATATATATATATATATATATATACACACATTCTTTTTCATATTCTTATCCATTGTAGTTTATCACAGGATGTTGAATATAGTTTCCTGTACTATACAGTAGGACCTTCTTGTTTATCCATTCTACATTTAATAGTTTGCATCTGCTAATCCCAAACTCCCGGTCCACCCCTTCCCCATTCTCCTCACCCTTGGCAACCACAAGTCTGTTCTCTATGTTTATGAGTCTGTTTCTGTTTTGTTGATAAGTTCATTTGTGTTGTATTTTAAATTCCATGTGTAGGTGATATCATATGGTATTTTTCTCTTTTACTTAGTTTGATAATCTCTAGGTCTGTCCATGTTGCTGCAAATGGCATTATTTCATTCTTTTTTATGGTTGAATAATATTTCATTGTGTGTGTGTACATGCACATACACACACATGCACCATATTTTTTTGTTTTTCATTTATTTCTAATTGAAGGATAATTGCTTTACAGCATTGTGTTGATTTCTGCCATACATCAGCATGAATCGGTCATAGGCATACATATGTCCCCTCCCTCTTGAACATCCCTCCCACCTCCCATCCTGTTCTCTCCCCAGTGGTCACAGAGCACCAGTTTGAGCTCCCTGAGTCACACAGTGGAATCCCACTGGCTGGCTGTTATATATGTGATAGTGTATGTTTCCATGCTATTCTCTCCATTTGTCCCACCCTCTCCTTCCCCCTACTCCTCACGTCCACAAGTCTGTTCTCTGTGTGTGCATCTCTGTTGCTGCCTTGCAAATAGGTTCATCAGTACCATCTTTCTAGATTCCATATATACATGTTAATATTCAATATTTGTTTTTCTCTTTCTGACTTACTTCACTCTGTATGGTAGGCTCTAGGTTCATCCACCTCATTAGAACTGACTCAAATGCATTCCTTTTATGGCTGAATAATACTTCATTACATATATGTACCACAGCTTCTTTATCCATTCATCTGTCAGACATCTAGGTTGCTTCCATGTCCTACCATTGTCAGTGGTGCTGCAATGAACAGTGGGGTACATGTATATTTTTCAGTTAATGGTTTTCTCAGGGTATAAGTGGTTTGGTATATATAGTGTTAAACATTTTCTATGTGTGCATAAAGATGCATGCACACATATTTGTATATCAGTTCTTTAGCCTGAGATCATCTTGCACACACTTTTTGGTAACTTATTTTTTATGTACTGTATCATAGACATTGGACCATTTCAGTAAATATAGAAGTGCTCTTTTTATAACCACCACCACCAAAATAATCAAACATCATTCCCTAAGTAACCCTTAAGCTGTTTCTCCAGTTTCCTTCGATGGACTTCAGATCGTTTACAGTTCTTTGTTATTGTAAACAATCCTACAGTGGCTCCTCTGAATTAAGTCCTACATATATTATAAATTTTAATGTCATTAAGTAACCAAACTAAAATATTTCAGAAAGTGACAGCAGCATGCATATAAAAGCACAGGAAAGTAAAAATACTGAATTTCTAGGAAACAAGTAATCTTGAATGTCCAGAGGGTGGCTTGTGAGGTAAGTCTGTGCTGCAGAACGCTCTCTGGCTGCAACTCGTGGTATGGAGAGCAGATTTAAGCAAAAAAGACTTGCAGCAGTCAAATCTGTTAGGATGTTGCCACAGTTAATAGTCAAAGTGACAAGTGATGAAAACTTGAAAATTTCTTTAAAGTGCAAGGGAAATGTATTTGAGAGCTTGCAAAGAAATAGAATGCGTAGCATCTGGTGACTGATTTGGCCATAGGGACAGGAGGGGAGAACTCAGGGGACTGACGATGTTTGCCTAGGGGGCAGCTGCTGGCCTCCCAGGCTGCCCACTGAAGACGAGGAATACCTGAGAGGGAACGGATTTGAGTGGGTGTGGACAGGGGAAAACTGAGTTCAGTTTTGAATACAATAAAGGGCTCTCTGTTAGACATTCAAGAAATGGTGTCCAGGAGACGGTCTAGGACTCAGGGGGAGAATTGTGAGCTGGAATTTGGAAGGTGTTTGGTGTTGAGCGAGGCTGAGAGAATCTCCATGTGGGTGGAGGGGGTGTTCATTTTTCTTCCCCATCACACCCATCCCACTACCTTATCTGCCGTTCAGAGACAAAGCGGAGACCTAAAGTTATCCTGTCCTTTTTTTATATATAAGAATCATTCCAGCAGAAGAGGCAGCTTACAAGCCTATACTTTTGAGGAACAGCCTACACTTCCTGTGGTAAGTTTTAGCCCCTCCCCTCAATCCTCAATAAAAATATGAGACTCGGCAACTTTTTTTTTTTTGAGCACTGAATATGAATGTTTGCTCCAGCATAGTATCTGGGCTCTGGGGGATGAGGTTGGGGGAGGGGAATGGGATAGGTAGGCCCTTCAAAGACAAAACCCAGAGAACTGTCTCTCTCACAGTGAGAAAGCCAAGTCCCCACATGCCAGTGGCTGTGGGTGGCGTTCAGGCTTGGCAGGTGAAGTGCTGTGCAGGCTGGATGTATCGCATACTGATCAGGACTGTGGCATCCAGGGGCCTCTGCCCGGTGCCCAGCCTATGTGTCTTGCAGCTGTTTCTGCCCCAGACATGAAGCTACATCAACAGCTGGTCATATGGGCGGGTGTGCACATGGCACATGGCACATGGGCAGGCTCAGCAGCCAGGATGGAGTTTGTCAACCCCCTTCTCAGTCTTGTTTTCCAGGCTGCCAAACCATCCACTGCCTCTTCAGTAGCATCTCTAGCCGTGACCTTGACTAGAGCTTAGACTTCATAGCTTCAGGCCCTTTAGTCTCCCAGCCTCCATCCTCTTTCTGACTCAGCTCTCACCTGGGTTCGAACCCTGGGTTGGGAAGATCCCCTGGAGAAGGGAACAGCTACCCACTGCAGTGTTCTTGCCTGGAGAATCCCATGGACAGAGGAGCCTGGTGGGCTACAGTCCATGGGGTCGCAAAGAGTCGGATCGTATTGAGCACGTTTCACCTTCACTGCTTTGAGTTTGTCCCTTCCTTATATGGTCCCCACTTCTTTGTTTAAACTAAATGTAAATGTCCAGGCTCCCAGCTCCTTGAGCCTCCCCTATCCCTTAGCCACCTATGGACTGCCCCACCACCACCACCTTCATTCCTGCCTGGGCTCTTTCTTCCAAACAGCGTTCCTATGAATTCTCTCCCTTTTCTGGGTGTGTGCGTGTTCCACTTTCCCACTTGGAACGGCCACCTCACTTTTTTTCTACCAACAGTTTGTGATTTTGAATAGCAGCCTATATATTAATTTTGAAAAGTGGGGGTTGTTTTTACTTTTATGGGGGTTCCAGCAAAGGAATTCACAAAAGGCCTTGAATTGGCTGATCCTTCTAAAAAGGTGGCCCTGCACCAAGAGAGGAACATGAGCACTTTGCAGAGGAAAGAGGTGGGGGCACCCACCTGTGCATTTTGCCCAGTCGGTATCAACCTTCAGCACGAAGGTGGATGCCACAGAAAGACTGCCCTCCCTCGCCTTCCTCTCCCTCAGTGCCCCATGTCTGGCCATCTCCACTCAACTTATTGTTCTTCAGTTGCTCAGTCGTGTCCAACTCTTTGCCACCCCATGGACTGCAGCATGTCACACTTCTCTTTCCTTCACCATCACCCAGAGTTTGCTCAGACTCATGTCTGTTGAGTTGATGATGCCATCCATAATGCTATGAGATGTCATCCTCTGTCCACTCACCTGGAGCCACTTAAACTGAGATCCCTAAGTGTCTCTCCCGCTGCATTTCGCATTGTCCTCTATACAGTGAAACTGGTGAATTTCTGATTCAGTGACAGGAAGTCATCCAAGAAACAATTTTAAGTGCACCAAATGAGCTACAGAATCTAGAGATGATTTACATTTTGTGTACTGGAAAAGCTGTTCCCATCCTTTTCCTTCTTAATACATTGATTAGAGATTTGTTTGCTTTCACAAAGCTTTCTTAAAGTATAATTTACATACTGTAACATCCACCCATTTTTAAGTACACAAACGAGTTTTAGTAAATTTATACAGTTGTGCAAACATGACCACAGTCAAGTTTGAGAACACTTCCATCACCACAAAAAGTGTTCTTAATCCTAATGCCTACTCTTAGCCCCAGGTGACTACTCGTCTGCTTTCTGTTGCTCGTTTTGCCTTTTCTAGGAATTTCATGTAAGTGGAATCATACAGTATGCCATCTTATGCATCTGGCTTCTTTCCCTTACTACGATGTTTTTGAGATAATCCATGTTGCTACATGTTTCAGTAGCTCATGATATTCCATCATTGTAGATGTGTCTACTACATCCCATTTATCTACTCATTAGCTGTTAGACATTTGTAATGCCAGGCAACTTTGAATTCCATTATTTTATAGACTCAGAGCTCATTGCAACTGTCAGCAGTGTACATCTACCTCTGTGTATCTACAGGCCAGTGTATCTAGTGAACAGACTAGTGGTCATAGTTTTTATATTAATATGTAAGACACATTAGGGAACCAAGCCAAATGTTGAAGAGTCTAATCTAACTTAAAAGACAATAGGAAGGTCAGACCTGGACTGTTTTCAGTAAACCTGGAAAAATAGACCTCTTTTGTTCATTAACAACAAGCTACAGTAATCAGCACTTCTCCAGCCCTCACAGAAACAAAGCAGGGGTAACTTTTGACTTGACACATATGGGTGATAATTTATGTAGTTTGACTACCTGTGTTCAAATCTCAGCTCCATTATAGCAATGTTATCTGTTAGGAATTTACTTCCATTTTCTAAAACTTCAGTTTTCTCATAAGTAAAAATGGGCCAGTAATATTAATTATCTCATTAAGATTTGTGTGGAAGTTAAATGACATGATCAGTGTGAGAGCAGTATGTGGTTGTTACTACTCTCATGTTGTTATCACACGCATCATTATTGTCTGTTCTGCTGTGTTTTTTTTTTTTTAAGTGAAATGCTGTGCACTTTAAAATATGGTTTAAAACATGATTCATTTTAAAGAGGTGAAAAAGGAGTGAAAAAGGAGATATGGTCCTTTAAAAAGGATTCTTTCTGGGAGCTTTCCTGGTAGTCCAGTGGCTAAGATTCCATGCTTGCAATGCAGGGGACCTGGGTTCAATCCTTGATGAGGTAACTGGATCCCACATGCTGCAGCTAAAAGATCCTGCATGCAGCAGCCAACATCCCGTGTGTTACAGCTAAGACCCAACACAGTCAAATAAATAAAAGAAATATTTTTAAAAATAGTAATGATAAAATACAATAAATAAGAAGGATTCTTTCTTATTAATATTTAATTCTGTTATTCTTCACTGTAGCTTTTGCCTACTTCATCTGGATTACCACCAGGTTGGGAAGAAAAACAAGATGAAAGAGGAAGATCGTACTATGTGGATCACAATTGCAGAACTACTACCTGGATAAAGCCCACTGTACAGGTACCCTGCAGTCTGTTCATTATGGTGTTTTCTTAGGTAATTTAAACCATCATATTTCTATGGGAGCTATTATAATACATCAGTGAGTAGTAGGTGCTGGATGCTTCTAATTATTTTCTGATATTGGTGCTATCTGTAATTTCTTGCAGATCTCTAATACACATGAGTCATTACTGGTTATTAGGTAAAACAAGTCCATTTGGGACTAGGAGGACAAAGTAAATGATCTGGTCCACTGGGTAATTTTGTAATTTGAATGGTTAAGATCATTATTTTGCTAAAAAATAATCTTGGTGATTAGCATCTATCAAAGAACTTTGTCATAATGACACTCTGTCCTTGGCAACAGTTTGCCTTTTGTATTAATAATATTTCTTTGTAAGCATTTAGGAAAATATCACCATTTCTCTTGAGAAATTTTTTAAAACTGAGAAGTACAGGGAATAACATAGCAAGTATCCATTTTCTTAACGTCCTGAATTTACCACCATTAACAGCTCACCGTATTGGTTCTAGATTTTCTTTTTTAAATAAAATCTTACAGAGAAAAGATTTTATCTTTTAACCAAGCACTTGGCCCCACTACTCAGAGGGAACTATCACTGTGAGCTTGTTGGGAATTCTTCCTGCCTATTTTATGTACTTGCTGCTAAGTCACTTCAGTCGTGTCCAACTCTATGCGACCCCATAGATGGCAGCCCACCAGGCTCCTCCGTCCATGGGATTCTCCAGGCAAGAATACTGGAGTGGGTTGCCATTTCCTTCTCCAGTGCATGAAAGTGAAAAATGAAAGTGAAGTCACTCAGTCGTGTCCGACTCTTAGCGACCCTATGGACTGCAGCCTACCAGGCTCCTCCGTCCATGGGATTCTCCAGGCAAGAGTACTGGAGTGGGGTGCCATTGCTATTTTATGTACTTAGTAGAGAGCTAAGCAATGCAAGATATTATTTATGTCCATGTGTCAAATTTAATAAAGATATTATGTAATTCTAAATATTTTTTGCTCACTATTGTTTTAAAATCCTATCATGTTGGTTTATATATAGATCTAGTATTTTTTTTTAGCTGCCTTATATTTTATCACAGGAATATATTACATTTCAGTTATCCAGTTCTGTAGTGGCTATTTACCATTTATTTTGTCTACCCACCATTTGAACCCATTTTTGTGTGTGGGAAATTCCCACTCAGTGTGAGCCTTTGGGGTGAGCAAAAACAACCTTCTCTAGTTGTCATTGCGGCTTTCTTGCAACTAGGGTTAACAGACTGTTAACTGCATCTTACTGCTCAAGAATTAGCTGAAAAATTTTAAATTGTTTTAAAAACAAACTTTGACAAAGCACTTTATTGGAGAAATGAGCCTCCAGTCTTTAGGCCTGTTTATAAGTGTGTGCGCTGTTTGCAGATTCAGTTACCTTTTTAACCACAGCTATTTGTGTGTTCTCTGTAAACACTACTACATAATTGAATTAATGTGCTAGGCCACAGTGGAGACCGGTCAGCTGCTGTCAAGCCAGGGTTCTTCTGCAGGCCCTCAGCCACAGGCCCCCACGAGTGATGCAGCACAACAGGTGACCCAACCATCTGAAATGGAGCAAGGATTCCTTCCCAAAGGCTGGGAGGTCCGGCACGCACCAAACGGGAGGCCTTTCTTCATTGACCACAACACCAAAACCACCACCTGGGTAACTTCAGTGGTTTCCAGTTTAAATTTGTAATAACAGTAACAATCACTTACGTGTAGTTCTTGATAATCTTTATAAGTATACATTAATATGGGCTTCCCTGGTGGTTTGGATGGTTAAGAATCTGCTTGCAATGCAGTAGAGACCCAGGTTTGATCTCTGGGTCCAAAAGATCTTCTGGAGAAGGGAATGGCTACCCAATCCATTCCTAGTCCTTATTTAAACATATGTTGAATTCTTAATAGCATTATTTCTATTCAGTATATTTATACCTATTTTTAATATTGGGGGGGATTGTTAAGAAGATACATTTATTTCCTGTTTGCAGTGGGCTTTTGTTTTGTTTTTGGCCATGCCACTTGGCTTGTGGGATCTTAGTTCCCCAGAGATTGAACTCATTCCACTCTTCAGTGGAAGTGTGGAGTCCTAACTACCAGAGAAGTCTTGTGTTTCTTGTATTTGGAGTTTTTAGCTCCCTAGCCATAAATTCCCAGGAAGATATTTAGTCATAATCATTTCCCTTTACATGAGGCCTCTAGTTCCAAAGTACTTTTGAATCCATACCTCATAATATCCAGAAAGCCTTATGAGCTAAGTAGACTAAGTATTTTTATTTTAAGATAAGGTTTAAAGTTGTTGTGCAGTTGGTTCACCACTAATAGAAAAACTACTGAAAATTATCAGTAAATGCAGAGATTTTTATTAATAAATTGTTTAAAAGTTACCAATATGCCTAAATTAAAATTATTTAATACATTATTTAATGAAACAATATTGAAATGATAATATATAAATAAATCCAAATAAATTAAATTTTGTTCTTTCTTTCAATAATTTGAGTTGCCTTTAATAACCTTCTTGAGCTTACCTTCTTATCTCTTAAAATTAATAAATTGTCTAATAAATATCTAATAAATTATCACCTTAGCACCTGTCTAGGTACCGAAAAGCATGTCCAAGGCCTCAGAAATAACACGTGCTCCAGCTTTATGTCCACTGTTACACCAGTTTTTATTCAGAGAAGAGCCCTGTGTAGTGACATAATCCTTAAAGCGTGGGCAAAATACTCTAAATGGTTTTTGTGAAAGAGCAAGTAAGTTAATACGGATCCTCCTCAAGATCTAATTGAATTTTTTTTAATTTTTAAATTAAATTTTTTTTTTTTTTTTTGCCCATGCCACAAGGTATGTAGAATTCTAGTTTCCCAGTCAGGAATCAAACTCATGCCCCCTGCAGTGGAAGCATGGAGTCTTAACCACTGGATTGCCAGGGTCCCTTAGAACTGAATATTGTAGCCTATGAATGAGAGATTTTAGATGAGAACCTATTATTTCATTGAGTAAGCAAATGAAAGTGAATCCATTGATATTAGAACACATAGTAACAGATTGACTTTCATGATTTTAAAGTTTGTGTATATATATTGTTTTCTTTATTTACTCTACCAAAAAAGGAAGATCCAAGACTGAAAATTCCAGCTCATCTGAGAGGAAAGACATCACTTGATTCTTCCAGTGACTTGGGGCCTTTACCTGTAAGTTTATAGAACTATTACCCATCTAACTTGACTGTCTCAAACATTTGTATTTCGAAATGCAGTAGTTCTTTCACAACTATAATTAATATTATTGTTGAAGTGTTGATGTCTTCTACTAAGAATGGAATATACAAATTAAATCAACCATATAACCAAAACCATTTTTCTGCCCATACACTGAAAACCTGTTCCTAATATAATTGAAATATGTTCTTCATTATAGCCAGGATGGGAAGAAAGAACTCACACTGATGGAAGAATCTTTTACATAAATCACAGTATGTGCAATGTGATTTTTTTTCCATTACATTATATTTTGTAATATCAAATTTTGTGCATGAGAATAAAGAACCTCTTTTTTTTCTCTCTTTCTTCAGATAGTAAAAAAACACAATGGGAAGACCCTCGTTTGCAGCATGTAGCAATAACTGGACCAGTAAGTCTCTTTGTATCAGCCTCCTCTGATGGGGTTGTCCTCTTACTTGTCTCTTCAAGGACAGATGATGAAGGGTATAGCACTAACTAAAGGTGTTGAGAGGAAAGCACATTTGCAAATCTCTCCTCTCCCCACCACCCATACGCCCGTCTCAGTTATTTGAAAAGGGCATTTAAAGTAGTTACCTCTACTCTACACAACAACCTTGGGATGCCAGTGAGCCAGAAAGTTAACTCAGTGAAGCTAACTCAGCGAGGCTGCTGTGCTCAGACTGGTACTTGAAACAATCTGAAAAAAGAATCCTGGAATCCTCAGTAAATCAGAAAGGAACCAAAAGTGTATCTGATGAGAAAGCCAACAGTGCCTTGTCAAATCAGGGTCATGTCTTGAACTTTTTGGTTGAAATCATTGTAAGTACTGGTATATAAGACATTCATATTTAAAGTACAAGTATTACCATGTATGATGTTTATACTACTCTTGAGTCAGATTAATGATAGGAAAATAATTTTCCTCTTTTATATAGCTTCTTTTTCAGATTATAATTGTTTTCTTATTCACAAAAATAAGTAAAATTGAAGATACAATTCTTTCAGATTACTCTTGTGACTCCATGTTTAGTCTTTTAATGGATAAAAAAGGCAACTCCTCAGAGTTCAGGGAAAAAGTACATTTTTCAAATTGTTCCTTTAATGGAGAAATCACTTTGAAAGCCTCTTTAGAAATGGAAATTTTCATTTCTAATATTTCTTTACTTGGAAGACATTTCCTGTTTCTGGCCTATTGCATTTCAAGAATACTGCATGATGAAAATTGCAGCCATAAGAATTGCTGGATACAATTTTATCTTAAACGGAGAAATTAAAATTTTTTAAGTTTTATATTTCTTTTTCTTTGAATTAAACTTTTCTTTCCAAATATTCTCTTTTAATGCCTTTAACTTATGTTCATAAAATACCCAGAGGGGAGTTTTTTAAATTGTTCCAGAATAAAATAACTTAAACCTTCTTTATTTTTCCAAAATTTTTAACTCAAGGCAGTGCCCTACTCCAGGGATTACAAAAGAAAGTATGAGTTCTTCCGAAGAAAGTTGAAGAAGCAGGTTAGTGATACTTATTATAATGAGTTCTTAGGAATGTTTGTCATATGGACTGAAAGCATGAGAAGTACATTTGAAAAAGTAATAGAGAGTTTATTATATATGAACAATTTTGAATAGCTTCTTTTAGGGAAAGGATACTTATTTTTTTAGTAGCTGTAATATATGATTAGAGTCTAGTTATTTTGTGTCTGTATGTTTCAATATGCCTTGCAATAGAGAAATAGTTTTAAAAATTTGCTTTTGAAGAAATCTAACTAGAGTTCCTCCTGGGTTTGTGGGGTTTGGGTTTTGTAGAAACTGAGCAAGAGTAAGTCAGGAGATTATCCTGTGGCCTAGACTTTGCTTGTGTAGGAGGACTCTGGATTCTGCTTCTGCTTGGACTGCTGTTTTCCAGTGTTAGTCACTCATTCTTTACAGCTTCAGGTATAATATATCTCTGCATAATTTGAATGTACGGCTGTGATTGGAGCAGTCCTCTTGTTGTTTATCTCCTTTTGCTTATCAGATATATTCAGAACACTTTTTCCATCACCACAGATTCAATGTGTTTGGCACTAAATCTGCCCATCTATTTCATTGCTATTGGTTATGACTGTTTTTTTAAGTAATTAACCTTTTTAAATTGAAAGAGTCTTTAAGTTCCATAAGGCTTTACAGTTTTCAAAGGTTTCATACACATGGTTTTATATAATTCCATAGTAACCCCTCCCCCCCCCGTACTGCCCCTCCCACACCCATAATCACTAGTTTGTTCCTCTCTCTCTCTCTCTCTGTGTATGTGTGTGTGTGTGTGTGTGTGTGTGTGTGTGTGTGTGTGTAACTTATTTATTTATTTTTGGCTGTGCTGGGTCTTCGTTGTTGTGTGGGCTTTTCTCTAGCTGTGGCGAGCAGGGGCTTCTTCCTCTTCAGGCAGTGCGCGGGCTTCTCATCATGGTGGCTTCTCTTGTGGCGCACTCGGGCTCTAGGGCAAGGGGGCCTCAGTAGTTATGGCACAAGGCTTCAGTAGCTGCGGTTCCTGGGCTCTAGAGCACAGGTTCAGTAGTTGCCGTGCACGGGGTCAGTTGCCCGTGGCATGTGGGATCTCCCAGGACCAGGGATCAAACCCATGTCTCCTCCGTTGGCAGGTGGAATCTTTATCACCAAGCCCCCACGGACGCCCTGCCCTCTGTATCTGTGAGGGATGACCCGTTTTTTAACGCCTTTCTGATTTGCTCCTGCGTCTCCCCTTGCCCTGCAGTTTAGGAATACTGCCACTAGGTGGCTACATTGGGTTACACTTCCTTGCCTTCCAATCTGGAAGCCTGGTTTTCCAAAGATTCAAGATGGCTTCTGCTGCCACAAATTTTTCTCATCCAAAACAGGACAAAAATGAAATACAGTACTTATTTAGTGCAAATATGCCTTAAAAAATACTTAAAATATCTTCAGTGTTTTAAACTCATCGTCAATAATAACCTTGTTTTAAAATTGCTCTGGAAATTTGTTTTCTACTTCTTAAAATTCTTTGGGATTCTAAGTCTGTTTTGAATTACTTATATGGTAAATATTTTCACTTAATGACAAGACACTGGTGGAATAGAAGTATTAGCTTCTCCATTTGCCAATCTGAACACTTACAAACAGGTTACAGTGTCTAATGGTTGATATTCTCTAAGCAGCAGGTCACAGAATACAAAACCATAATGAAAGTGGTAATTTTTATTGAGTTCTGACCACATATTGGCATTTTTCTTAAGTTACATGTATGATCCCTGTGTAATCTCTGCAATAACTCTATAATGAAAGGACTATTATTATCACATCCTAGAGTTGAGGAAGCTGAGGCTCAGAGGAACTAGGCAGTGTGATCAAGTTCCATGGTTATTAACAGCAAAGCCAGGTACAAACCAAGTGGTGCTATGCCAGAGTCCATGCTTCTAACTCACATGACATACCAGATTGGGGATTAAGGGAAGAAGTTACCCAGAATGCAAGAAAGGTATATAAGAAGATGAAATTATGAAAGAAAAGATTAAGAGACATGAAGCTGTTCCAGAAGAAGAGCTTGAGGAAGAGGCTGAGAATCTGAATCCTCAGTTTAACAAAATGTCCCAAGCAGGATTTAAGAAATAAGACTCCTGTCTGGACACATTGCATCACAGCAGAAGAGCAGAACATCGAGGCGGAGATAAAAATGTGTGAAGCAGTGCTCCAAAGCCTTGAGCTGCCTTTATCCTTTCCCTCCACCTCATCCCTAATATGTCATTAGTTTGGATTAAGGGTGGCTAATCATTATTGAGATCACTGTGTGCCAGGCACTGTGTCAACACAAGCAATGCGTTGTCCCAGTTATTCCTAAAACAGCTCCCTGAGGGTAAATACTTTTATCGTCCCTATTTTATAGATGAGATAATGAAGCATTAGGAAAGATGTGCAAGCTGAAGCCAGAACTTGAACACAGAGTCACCTGACTCCAGAACCCATGCATGATCCACCACTCAGCTCAGATGTGGAAATTGCTCCTATGGTCTCCCTTCTGTAGCTGTCGCTCACTCAGAGGGCCCATTCATTTTCTGTCACTCAGGCTGTTTCAGGGGTCTTTCACTGACCGGTGTGTCTTTTGTCTCCCCTCGTGTGTGCTAAGCTGCTTAGTCGTTTCCGACTCTTTGCAACCCCATGGACTGTAGCCTTCCAGGCTCCTCTATCCATGGGATTTTCCAGGCAAGAATACTGGAGTTGGTTGCTATTTCCTCCTCCAGGGGATCATCCTGACCCAGGGATCGAGCCCCAGTGTCCTATGTCTCCTGCATTGCAGGCAGAGTCTTTACCCGCTGAGCCATTGGGAAAGCTCCATTGAAATACCTTTTAGATCTGATGGCGTCAGCTCCTGAGAACATAGCAAGAAGCCTGATCCTGTGGCTCCTTCTCTTCTTCCCCTTCCCCTTCTGTACCAGCCAGCTCTCAGTCGGCTGGGACTCTTCTCCCTGCTTGCTGTTCCTCAGTCCTTCTCTCCCTGCCCACCCCAGACAGGGCGTTCTCTCGAAGCCTCCTTGGTTGTCTCACTTGTAATTAATAGCTCAGTTTTATTTTTGCCTACAAAACTTTGCTTCTGTTTCTGTTGTTAGCAATTTTTCTACTCTTTTAAATCTCAGAATTAGTAACATTTACATTTGTTTCTCACACACACACCAGATTGTAAACTCCCTGAAGAAGTGACCCCACCTTATGCCATGTTTTCATTCCCTTTTCCTCCCATCTCTGGCCCCTTTGCAGTACCTACCTAGCATGGACCTGGCCCAGAGTGGGCCTTGAGTCAGTGCTTGTTGAGTCACTTACCTGCACTAGTAGTTTGCCCACTGTCTAAAATTATAAAATTGCTTTCCTCCAGTCTTACCAGTTTTTTAAATTGCATAAGCAGCAGAGGAAACTGTGGTTTACTTCCTCTGCTGCTGACACAGAGAGGAAGTATACTGACTTCAATTGCAGCCCTCAGCCTCAGCAGTTGTGGCACATGGGCTTAGTTGCTCCACAAAACTTACATTATACTTATATTGCTTATCTAAACTGCTTATATAATTATGTTTCTAAGGGCTTTCCACTTTTCCTAAGTATTTTGTGTGTGAAACTGCTTTAGAGCTAGCCCTCTTTCCTTTTCTTGATTCTACAGAATGTTGATGGCATGTTTTCTTTTCGTGGTTTCCACTGGAACATTGTACACAGAGTACTCAAAAATAAAATATTCAGATATATTTATATATAATTTACAGTAAGGTCTGCCTAAAAGCATAGTTATATACATTTGTCATATAAGCAAATTGTGTACAAAAGATAAGTGAGGCGATGTAGCTCATTCATTAAGAACAGAGGCTCAGAAGCTAAGACTTTCTTAACTTGTATCTTTAGTTTCTTCATCCATAAATGAAGACAATAGTAGGTTCTTCATAATGTTGTTATGAGGAGTAAATGAGTTAACCCATTAAAATTCTGGGAACAGTGCTGGCACAGTCTGTAAAAGTTAGCACCTGTTAATGAGTGAAGTAAACCGCTCCAGAGAGGAAATATGGAGGCCAGGGGAGAACCCTAAGCTGACAGGCAGACAAGTATTGATAGCAGGCAGTGACTTGACTGACCGTCAGTCAGAGAATGTCTTTCTTGGATCTTAAAGTGGAAATGACTGCTCATGACATGCCTTCATGTGAGTGTTACTGTCACTATCAGTAGCTGCTTCTTCAGATGTGAAAATGAGAAGTCTTTGTTATTACGTGACCAGAGAAAATGCATGAGTTCTTTAATACTGTGGAAGAAATACAAGACAATATACCTAGGCCTGTTATCCCTGAAAAAGGATCTTGGGCACAGGAGTAGAATACAATGAATTTTATAATGTTCATGAGAGAAACATGTGTTGAACTGATTTGAACAGTCTCTCTTCTCTGGATTTTCAGAATGACATTCCAAACAAATTTGAAATGAAACTTCGCCGTGCAACTGTTCTCGAGGACTCTTACAGGAGGATTATGGGGGTCAAGAGAGCAGACTTCCTCAAGGCTAGACTGTGGATTGAGTTTGATGGTGAAAAGGGACTAGATTATGGAGGAGTTGCCAGAGAATGGTTCTTTCTGATTTCGAAGGAGATGTTTAACCCTTATTATGGGCTGTTTGAATATTCTGCTACGTAAGTACCTTTACAATGACTGTGTACAGAAAAAAAAAAAATCACTGTTTTGAAAATAACAGAGTGACGTGATGGGAGGGAAATGTAAGTCACAATGCGCCAGAAAAGGGGAGAGGGTAACTAATGTTGTTTCAGAAATAACTTTTAAAAGTTATAGTGAAATATATATGATATAAAATTTACCATTCTTATCATGTTAAATGCATTCGTTGTTGTGCAACCATCACCACCATCTACCTCCAGAACTTTTTCATCATCCCACACTGGAACTCTGTTTCCTTTAAACATGATCTCCCCCATTCCCTGGCATTAACCATTCTACTTTCTGTCTCTATAAACTGGACTGTTCTCAGTACCTTGTATAAGTAGAATCATACTGTATTTGACCTTTTATAACTGGCTTAACTTCATTAGCATAATGTTCTCAAGGTTTATCCATGTAGCAGTATGTGGTAGAATTTCCTTCCTTTTGAAGGCTGTGTAATATCCCATTATGTGTCTGTACCACATTTGTTTATCCATTTAGCTTTCAAAAACATTTGGATTGTTTCCACCTTTTGAACAAAATGACTGTTTTTAAAACCATTAAATCCAGTGGTCTAATATGGTTGTAATAGAGTTGAACAACTGTAAAAAGGGGGAGATGATTTACAATTACTTGTCATATTAAAATTTTTATATGAAATATGGAAAGGAGCATTTATATGTGATTATCTTTACAGGGATAATTATACCCTACAGATAAATCCCAACTCTGGACTGTGTAATGAAGATCACCTCTCTTACTTCAAGTTTATTGGTCGGGTAGCTGGGATGGCAGTGTATCATGGCAAACTGTTGGATGGTTAGTATTTTTTTTTAATTGGAGGATAATTGCTTTACATGTTGTGTTGGTTTCCGCAATACATCAATGTGAATCAGCCGTGTGTGTGTGTGTGTGTGTGTGTGTGTGTGTGTGTATGTGTGTATCCCCTCCCTCATGAGTCTCCCTTCCACCCAACCCCCCGTCTCACCCCCTCAGTTGCCGCAGAGCTGAGCTGAGCTCCCTGTGTTACACAGCAGCTTCCCACTAGCTGTCTTATTTTACACATGGTAGTGTATAATTACCATTACACGTTAACATTAACATTACACATGGTAGTGTTTTTTTTCTTTTTATTTATTTTAATTGGAGGCTATTTACTTTACAATATTGTAGTGGTTTTTGCCATACATTCATATGACTCAACCACGGGTGTACATGTGTTCCCCATCCTGACCCTCCCTCCCACCTCCCTCCCCATCCCATCCCTCAGGGTCACCCCAGTGCACCAGCCCTGATCACCCTGTCTCATGCATCGAACCTGGACTGGCAATCTATTTCACATATGATAATATACATGTTTCAATGCTATTCTCTCAAATCATCCCACCCTTGCTTTCTCCCACAGAGTCCAAAAGTCTGTTCTATACATCTGTGTCTCTTTTTCTGTCTTGCATATAGGGTCATGATTACCATCTTTCTAAATTCCATATATATGTGTTAATATACTGTATTGGTGTTTTTCTTTCTGACTTACTTCACTCTGTATAATAAGCTCCAGTTTCATCCACCTCATTAGAACTGATTCAAATGCATTCTTTTTAATGGCTGAGTAATATTCCATTGTGTATATGTACCACAGCTTTCTTATTTGTTCGTGTGCTGATGGATATCTAGGTTGCTTCCATGTCCTGGCTATTATAAACAGTGCTGCGATGAACATTGGAGTACACGTGTCTCTTTCAGTTCTGGTTTCCTCAGTGTGTATGCCCAGCAGTGGGATTGCTGGGTCGTATGGCAGTTCTATTTCCAGTTTTTTAAGGAATCTCCACACTGTTCTCTGTAGTGGCTGTACTAGTTTGCATTCCCACCAACAGTCTAAGAGGGTTCCCTTTTCTCCACACCCTCTCCAGCATTTATTATTTGTAGACTTTTTGATAGCAGTCATTCTGATCAGAATGAGATGGCACCACATTGTGGTTTTGATTTGCATTTCTCTGATAATGAGTGATGTTGAGCATCTTTTCACGTGTCTGTTAGCCATCTATGTGTTTTCTTTGGAGAAATGTCTGTTTAGTTCTTTGGCCCATTTTTTTGATTAGGTCGCTTATTTTTCTGGAATTGAGTTGCAGGAGTTGCTTGTATATTTTTGAGATTAATTCTTTGTCAGTTGCTTTGTTTGCTATTATTTTCTCCCATTCTCAACTCCTGCAGCTCAATTCCAGAAAAATAAATGACTCAATCAAAAAATGGGCCAAAGATCTAAACAGACAATTCTCACTCATTATCAGAGAAATGCATATCAAAACCACAATGAGGTATCATTACATGCCAGTGAGGATGGCTGCTATCCAAAAGTCTACAAGCAATAAATGCTGGAGAGAGTGTGGAGAAAAGGGAACCCTCTTACACTGTTGGTGGGAATGCAAACTAGTACAGCCACTGTGGAGAGAACAGTGTGGAGATTCCTTAAAAAACTGGAAATAGAACTGCCATATGACCCAGCAATCCCACTCCTGGGCATACACACCGAGGAAACCAGATCTGAAAGAGACACGTGCACCCCAGTGTTCATCGAAGCACTGTTTATAATAGCCAGGACATGAAAGCAACCTAGATGCCCATCAGCAGACGAATGGATAAGAAAGCTGTGGTACATATACACAATGGAATATTACTCAGCCATTAAAAAGAATACATTTGAATCAGTTCTAATGAGATGGATAAAACTGGAGCCCATTATACAGAGTGAAGTAAGCCAGAAAGATAAACACCAGTATAGTATACTAACACATATATATGGAATTTAGAAAGATGGTAATGATAACCCTATATACAAGACAGAAAAAGAGACACAGATATACAGAACAGACTTTTGGACTCTATGGGAGAAGGTTAGGGTGGGATGATCTGAGAGAACAGCATCGAAACATGTATATTATCAAGTGTGAAACAGATCGCCAGTCCAGTTTGGATGCATGAGACAGGTGCTCCGGGCTGGTGCACTGGGATGACCCAGAGGGATGGGATGAGGAGGGAGGTGGGAGGGGGGTTCAGGATGGGGAACACATGTAAATCCATGGCTGAGTCATGTCAATGTATGGCAAAAACCACTACAATATTGTAAAGTAATTAGCCTCCAACTAATAATAATAATAAAATAAAAAATTAAAAAAAATATTTTCTCCCATTCTGAAGGCTGTCTTTTCACCTTGCTTATAGTTTCCTTCATTGTGCAAAAGCTTTTAAGTTTAATTAGGTCCCATTTGCTTATTTTTTCTTTTATTTCCATTACTCTGGGAGGTGGGTCATAGAGGATCCTGCTATGAATTACATCAGAGAGTATTTTGCCTATGTTTTCCTCTAGGAGTTTTATAGTTTCTGGTCTTACATTTAGATCTTTAATCCATTTTGAGTTTATTTTTGTGTTTGGTGCTAGAAAGTATTCTAGATTCATTCTTTTACAAGTGGTTGACCAGTTTTCCCAGCACCACTTGTTAAAGAGATGTCTTTTCTCCTTTATGGTCAGAAAAGATGCTTGAGATGATTTCAATATTCTTGAATTTACCAAGACTAGATTTATGGCCCAGGATGTGATCTATCCTGGAGAAAGTTCTGTGTGCGCTTGAGAAAAAGGTGAAATTCATTGTCTTAGGGTGAAATGTCTTATAGATATCAATTAGGTCTAACTGGCCCATTATATCATTTAAAGTTTGTGTTTCCTCGCTAATTTTCTGTTTAGTTGATCTATCCATAGGTGTGAGTGAGGTATTAAAGTCTCTCACTATTATGGTGTTACTGTTAATTTCCCCTTTCGTACTCGTTAGCATTTGCCTTACATATTGCAGTGCTCCTATATTGGGTGCATATATATTTATAGTTGTTATATCTTCTTCTTGGATTGATCCTTTGATCATTATGTAGTGTCCTTCTTTGTCTCTTTTCACGGTCTTTATTTCAAAGTCTATTTTATCTGATATGAGTATTGCTACTCCTGCTTTTTTTCTGGTCTCCATTTGAATGATATATCTTTTTCCAGCCCTTCACTTTCAGTCTGTATGTGTCCCTAGGTTTGAGGTGGATCTCTTGTAGACAGCATATATAGGGGGCTTGTTTTTGTATCCATTCAGTCAGTCTTTGTCTTTTGGTTGGGGCATTCAACACATTTACATTTAAGGTAATTATTGATAAGTATGGTCCCGTTGGCATTTACTTTATTATTTTTGGTTCGAGTTTATAAATCTTTTCTGTGTTTCTTGTCTAGAGAAGATCCTTTAGCATTTGTTGGAGAGCTGGTTTGGTGGTGCTGAATTCTCTGAGCTTTTGCTTGTCTGTAAAGCTTTTGAATTCTCCTTTATATCTGAATGAGATCCTTGCTGGGTACAGTAATCTGGGTTGTAGGTTTTTCTCTTCATCACTTTTAAGTATGTCCTGCCATTCCCTTCTGGCTTGAAGAGTTTCTATTGAAAGATCAGCTGGTATCCTTATGGGGATTCCCCTTGTGAGTTATTTGTTGTTTTTCTCTTGCTGCTTTTAATATTTGTTCTTTGTGTTTTATTTTTGTTAATTTGATTACTGTTTGTCTTGGCATATTTTGCCTTGGGTTTATCCTGTTTGGGACTCTCTGGGTTTCTTGGACTTGGGGGGCTATTTCCGTCCCCATTTTAGGGAAGTTTTCAACTGTTGTCTCCTCAAGTATTTTCTCATGGCCTTTCTTTTTGTCTTCTTCCTCTGGGACTCCTATGATTTGAATGTTGGGGCATTTGACATAGTCCCAGAGGTCTCTGAGATTGTCCTCATTTCTTTCTATTCTTTTTTCTTTTTTCCTCTCTGCTTCATTTATTTCCACCATTCTATCTTCCACCTCACTTATCCTATCTCTTCTGACTCAGTTATTCTACTGTTGGTTCCCTCCAGAGGGCTTTTGATCTCAGTTATTGCATTATTCATTATTGATTGACTCTTTTTTATTTCTTCTAGGTCCTTGTTAAACTTTTCTCGCATCTTCTCAATCCTTGTCTCCAGACTATTTATCTCCATCTTGTTTTCAAGATTTTGGATCATTTTTACTATCATTATTCTAAATTCTTTTTCAGGTAGACTCCCTATCTCTTCCTCTTTTGTTTGGCTTGGTGGGCTTTTATCATGTTCCTTTACCTGCTGAATATTTCTCTTCCTTTTCATCTTGTTTAGATTGCTGTGTTTGGGGTGGCCTTTCTGTAGGCTGGAAGTTTGTGGTTCCTCTTTATTGTGGAGGTTCCTCCCTTTGGGTGGGGTTGGACAAGTGGCTTGTCAAGGTTTCCTGGTTAGGGAAGCTTGTGTTGGTGTTCTGGTGGGTGGAGCTGGATCTCTTCTCTCTGTAGTTCAATGAAGTGTCCAGTTATGAGTTTTGAGGTGTCTATGGGTTTGATGTGACTTTTTGGCTGCCTACATTTTTGTGCTCAGGGTTATGTTACTGTGTTGTTGAAGAATTAGCTTGGTATGTCTTGCTCTGCAACTTGTTGGCTCTTGGGTGGAACTTGGTTTCAGTATAGGTATGGAGGCTTTTGGATGAGCTCTTGTCGATTAATGTTCCCTGGAGTCAGGAGTTTTCTGGTGTTCTCAAGTTTTGGATTTAAGCCTCCTGCCTCTGGCTTTCAGTCTTATTCTTACACTAGCCTCAAGACGTCTCCATCCATACAGCACCGATGATAAAACAGCTAGGTTAATGGTGAAAAGATCCTCCACAGTGGGGGACACTCAGAGAGGTTCACAGAGTTACATGGAGAAGAGAAGAGGGAGGAAGGAGATAGAGGTGACCAGGAGGAGAAGAGGGGGAGTCAAAAGGGGAGAGAGCAATCTACCCAGTAATCAATTCCCTATTTGCTCTCCACAGTCTGGAACACTCAGAGAAATTCACGGACTTCCATAGAGAAGAGAAGAGGGAGGAGGGAGATAGAGGTGACCAGGAGGAGAGGAGAGGGGGGTCAAAAGGAGAGAGACAAATCTAGCCTGTGATCAGTTCCCTAAGTGTTCTCCACAGCCCGGAACACCCAAAGAGATTCACAGAGTTAAGCAGAGAAGAGAAGTGGGAGGGAAGAGATAGAGGTAACCTGGGGGAGAAAAAGGAGAGTCAAAAGGGGAGAGAGCAATCAAGCCAGTAATCACACTCCTAAGTAAAAATGGGTACTGAATATTGGATTCTTAAAGGTACAGAAATGATTCAGTTCAGTTCAGTTCAGTCACTCAGTCGTGTCCAACTCTTTGCGACCCCATGAATTACAGCACGCCAGGCCTCCTTGTCCATCACCAACTCCGGAGATTACTCAAACTCATGTCCATTGAGTTGGTGATGCCATCCAGCCATCTCATCCTCTGTCGTCCCCTTCTCCTCCTGCCCCCAATCCCTCCCAGCATCAGGGTCTTTTCCAATGAGTCAACTCTTCGCGTGAGGTGGCCAAAGTATTGGAGTTTCAGCTTCAGCGTCAGTCCTTCCAATGAACACCCAGGACTGATCTCCTTTAGGATAGACTGGTTGGATCTCCTTGCAGTCCAAGGGACTCTCAAGAGTCTTCTCCAACACCACAGTTCAAAAGCATCAATTCTTCGGCACTCAGCTTTCTTCACAGTCCAATTCTCATATCCATACATGACCACTGGAAAAACCATAGCCTTGACTAGACAGGCCTTTGTTGACAAAGTAATGTCTCTGCTTTTTAACATGCTATCTAGGTTGGTCATAACTTTCCTTCCAAGGAAATTGGAATTGATAACAAATACCAAAAAGTAAAGATTAAAAATCCAGAGTAGAGGTTAGACTCTCAAAATTACAATATTAAAAAAACAAAATTGCAAAAGTTATGCGAATATACATATATGAAATTTGCTTTAAAAATAGGGTCTTTTTTTGCAAGTTAAAAGTAGATTTTAAAAATGAAAATTAAAGGAGTAATAAAGAACTTAAAAGTAAAAAAAATTTTAATTAAAAAATTATAACAGTAAAATATATCTAGGAATTTCTCTGGAGCTGTTGAGGGCAGTGTGGGGTCAGTTCAGTTTCAGATAGTTCCTTGTTACAGCTTACACTTCTTCTCAGGGTCTATAGGCCCCTTCCAATGTAGGCAATGCTAACTACAGGGTTTTAATCTGTTGCACCTGTCACTTCCAAAGCGGTTCCCTCTTGTTTGTTTGTTTTGGCTTCCTCTGTTTGCAAGTCTCTTCAGTATCTAACTTCTGCCCTGACACAAGGGGGTGAAAGTGGTCGTTTATTTAGGCTCACTTGTTCAGTTGTGCTGCGGGGAGGGAGGAACACTGCCATCAAATATCACTGGCGTGTGTGGGGGGTGCTCGCAGTGCCTGGGCCACACTGGGTTTGCCCCTGTCACCGCATGTTTGCTTTCCCGGTCTACACTGCTCAGGCTCCACGTTGCTCTGGAGGGGAACTGTCTAAGGCGGTCCCTGCGTTTCGTGCACTTCCCAGGTCTAAGCCGCTCAGGTTTAGGTCCTCGGGTACTCCACAAAGGCACAGACCTGGTTGGGCCTGAGTTTTGTGCCCTCCCCGGGTCCGAGCCGCTCAGGTGACCAGGTGCTTGGCAAGCGCACACTCCCCAGGTGGGCGGCGCGTCTTATCGCCTCCCCGTCCCAGCCGCCAGTTTCCGGGTGCGCAGCGGGAGCGCCGTCTCAGGTGTGCCGTGTGTCTCCTCTGGGGAGCCGATCTCGGGCTGCCGCCCTCCTGGTGGATGTCAACCATCCTGGATCCCAGGAAGACTTGGTTAGCAACTGGGAGCCTGCTCGCGGTTTGGTAGAGGATGCCATCTCTGGGGCCAGGTTTTCCCCTTACCTCCCAGCTCTGGCTGTCGCCCGCCTGCCTCTGCCTCCGGCGGGGGATGGGCCGGTCCACTGTTGGCTAGCTCTACTCTGGTATTCGCTCAGTCCTATGTTCTGTGAACAGACACGGCAATGCCTTAGGTTAGAGCTTTTCGCAGGAAAGTACTCTCTCTCTTTTTTTTTTCCCTCTCTCTGGCTATCCCACAGTTTGGGTTGCTGTCTCATGTTAGCTCCTTCAGATTGCCCTAAGGGCCTTCAGGCTCAATCCTTACCCCAAGCAATGCAGCCCGCGCCTCCTTGTTCAGCCCCCACTTGCTGGTGGCAGAGGTGAGCATCTGGGCTACTTCTCCACTGGGAGTTGTAGTTAGGCGCGTAATCTGTGGGTTTTATTTATTTTTTCCTTCCAGTTATGTTGCCCTTTGAGATTCCAAAACTCCCCACAGATGAGAGGGTTTCCTGGTGTTTGGAAACATCTCCTCTTTTATGACTCTCTCCCCGAGACGGGTCTCCGTCCCTAACTCTTTTGTCTCTCTTTTTATCTTTTGTCCTACCTCCTTCAAAGACAATGGGCTGCCTTTCTGGGTGCCTGGTGTCCTCTGCCAGCGTTCAGAAGTTGTTTTGTGGTATTTGCTTAGCGTTCAAAGATCTTTCGATGAATTTGTGGGGAAGAAAGTGGTCTCCCCATCCTATTCCTCTGCCATCTTAGTACCGCCCCCCGGTTAGTGTATATGTTTTAATGCTACTCTCTCAATTCATCCCACCCTCCTTCCCCGACTATGTCTGCAAGTCTGTTCTCTATATCTGTGTCTCTATTCCTGCCTTGCAAATAGGTTCATCAGTACCATTTTTATAGATTACATTTATATGCATTAATATACAATATTTGTTTTTCTTTTTCTGATTTACTTTACTCAGATGGTTAGTATTAAGCATAAAACTTTTTAGTATGTAATTATCTGATTTTTTTTTTGCTCAGTAATCATTTTAAATATATTTGATTTTTTGCAAGGTTTTTTCATCCGCCCATTTTACAAGATGATGCTGCACAAGCCAATAACACTTCATGATATGGAATCAGTGGTATGTCTTTTTCACTTATAATATAAACTGTAATTTAACAGGCAACTGAATATTTTAAAGACTTTTTAATGATGAAGAAGTCAACAGATGTTCCAAATATAAATGAACATTTCTCCCAACATTTTATTTTGAAAATTTACTAACATATAATAGAGTTTAAAAAGCTTTACAGTGGTTATGTATATATCCACCACCCAGATTCCACAATTGGCTTTTGATCCATACTTATTTCATGACATACCTATCCACATATCTACTCCCTATTCATCAATTCATCTTATTTCTTTGATGCATTTCAAAGAAAGTTTCAGGTATGAGTAAATTTCTCCCTAAATACTTCAGCATGCTATCTATATAAAATAATTTTATATGTCTCTTGTGTCAGTATTTGAATTGTGATCATTTGTGATGAATGACATGTTTTCAAACTGGCAGTCCAAAGCAAAGTTTTGAAATTAGGCTACTACAGAGAAACAGAAACCCAAGAATTAAATTCTTGACTATAGCCTTGTAACCCATGCTGAATAGCATCATATAACATATAGAAGACATAGATTCCAAGACTTCTTCCATGGTACCAAGTCCCATTCTTGTGACATATCAGTGTGAACATTATGTGCATGAATGCTTAGTTGCTTCAGTCGTGTCTGACTCTTTGCGACCCTGTGAACTATAGGCCTCCAGGCTCCTCTGTCCATGGGGTTCTCCAGACAAGAATACTGGAGTGGCTGCTATGCCCTTCTCCAGGGGATCTTCCCAACCCAGGGATCGAACCTGCGTCTCTTATGTCTCCTGCATTGGCAGCTGGGTTCTTTACCATTAGTGCCACGTGGGAAGCCCATAAACAGTATATTTCTTTATAAATCATAACACCGCATAGTTATTGGAGTTGAAAAATTAAGGTTCTGTATTTGAGATTTTTCTTCAATTTAGGGCCAGGTATAAATAGCAGTCTCCTCATAGTTACTTAAGCATTTCAAACACAGTCTCATTGGCCATATGGACAGATGCTGAGAGCCTCTGAGTATCATGGAAGTTACTCAGATATATATCAGATATATATCTGATATATCTCAGAACTGACCCTTTAACTGGATAATAAAAATCTGTACCTCCACTGCTTCCAAACAGAAATAGACTTCTAAACTTTTAAGCAGGCACTATGCTATTGATATTTTTTTTGGCCACACCCTGTGGCCTGCTGGATCTTAGTTCCCCAACCAGGGATGGAACTCACACCCACCTGCAGTGGAGGTATGGCATCCTAACCACTGGACTGCCAGGGAAGTCCCAATATTTGTATTTATACTCATGTACTTACTATTCATTTCTTTTTGTAATGTGTGTGTGTGTGTGTAAAAGAGATCCATCTGACCTTATCATCTTTCATCCAGTTATTTAGACTTTGGCTACTTTTTTTTGCAGATTCATGTATCTTCTTTCTGTATACAAATTTTAAATATGCAATTTATCCCATCTAGGATAGTGAGTATTACAATTCATTAAGATGGATTCTTGAAAATGATCCAACAGAATTGGACCTCAGGTTTGTCATAGATGAAGAACTTTTTGGACAGGTTTGTAAATTTTGATTTATTTAAATGGTACATAAATTGTGAAGCTTTAGAACTTAAGTTTAATAACTTAAGCAAAATTTTATAAATTTAGACCTTAAATAATGCATGTACTCAACACATTTCTGCATTCTATTTTAAAATTTATTTTCCCGTAACAAAAGCTGTCTCTCAGAAAGATTTCTGCTTCTTTGACTTTTGACTCATTTCATATGTATTTAAGTAAAACTAATATTTCAAGTTTCCTTAGCTTTTGAGTGGATTAAATTTAAAACACCAGGCTTCTTGTGTAACTGTAATATGTATACTTTATTTTTTTCACTAAAATAACGTATCAATGTATCATGCTTAATTTCAGACACATCAACATGAGTTGAAAAATGGTGGATCAGAAATAGTTGTCACCAATAAGAACAAAAAGGAATATATTTAGTAAGTATTTTGTTATACTTTACTATTTTTAGTAAATACTTTATTGGAAATAATTTTGTACTTTCTGTGAAGATTCTTTGTACCTTCTTTTTCTTTCTCTAGAGTCAGAGTCTCAATATTCTTTTCTATAAAAATTCTATACTTTTACTCACTCATTCAGTTCTTGCCTTGGGCTTAGCTAGTCTTTATTTTTTGTTTCTAATCAGAATACCTGTACCTTAACATCTTTTCTTATTCCCTGTGAAAAAGATAAAATGTTTTATTTCTTCTAGTCTTGTAATACAATGGCGATTTGTAAACCGAATCCAGAAGCAAATGGCTGCTTTTAAAGAGGTATTCATTTTCTTTTGTTTCCTCTTCTGTAGTTTCAAAGCACAGTCCATATCATATCAGAGAAAAAGGGGACCTTATTGTATCAGAGTAAAAAGTAATATATGATTTGCTTTTTAAAGCCATTTTAAATTATGTTTTCATACTGAAGTAAAGTGTTACTTGCTCAGTCGTGTCCAACTCTGCAACTCCATGAACTGTAGCCCACCAGGCTCCTCTGTCAGTGGAATTCTCCAGGCAAGAATACTGGAGTGGGTTGCCATTTCCTTCTCCAGGGGATCTTCCCCACCCAGGGATGGAACCCAGGTCTCCTGCATTGTAGGCAGATTCTTTACTGTCTGAACCACCAGGGAAGCCCATGTTTTCATACTGAAGTGGAGTGAAAGTCACTCAGTCATGTCCGACTCTTTGCAATCCCATGTACTATAAAATCCATGGAATTCTCCATGCCAGAATACTGGAGTGGGTAGCCATTTCCTTCTCCAGGAGATCTTCCCAATCCAGGGATCAAACCCAGGTCTCCCACATTGCAGGCGGACTCTACCAGCTGAGCCACCAGGGCAGCCCAAGAATACTGGAGTGGGTAGCCTGTCCCTTCTCCAGGGGATCTTCCTGGTCTAGAAATTGAACCGGGGTCTCCTGCATTGCAGGTGGATTCTTTACCAGCTGAACTAGCAGGGAAGTCCTTGTTTTCATACTGATAGAGTATTAAATGAATAGATGTTGAGTTAAAAAGCAGTCATTCAAGAAGTCCATGCAATAAACAGTCCTCCATAACATGGATCCCCCCTCACCTTTTATAGTCCCCTCCCCTCACCTTAGTAAACCTAAGTGAACAAAGGGACAAGAGTCCTAGAGGGACGTGGAATATATCAGCAGGCCACAGACTTTTTGGCCCCAGGGACCAGTTTCACAGAACACAGTTTTTCTGTGGATCTTGGGATCAGGTAGAGGGATAATTCAGCAGTAATGCAAGTCATGGAGAGTAGCAGATGGAACTTAACTGACTCGCCCACCCCCACCTCCTGCTGTGTGGCCCAGTTCCCCAGACCAGCACTTATTCATGCCCCAGGGGTTGGGAACCCCTGAAAAGTGAAAGTGTTAATCACTCATCGTGTCCAACTCTTCTCAACTCCATGAACTGTAGCCTGCCAGGCTCCTCTGTCTACGGAATTCTCCTTGCAGGAATGCTGGAGTGGGTAACCATTCCCTTCTCCAGGGGATCTTCCCAACCCAAGGATTGAACCCAGGTCTCCTTCTTACCAGCACATTCTTTACCATCTGGGCCACTAGGGAAGCCTCTGGGAACCCCTGGAACATGCCGTTTATGTCTTTTCCTAAATGGCATCATGCCATACATGTTGGTTTGTGACTCCCTTCCTTCTCTTGTCAAATACTTGTTGGAGGTGTTTTACATATCAAGATATACAGTGACCTTTCTTTGTAGCTGTATTTTATTCATAATGTAAATTCATAAGTCACTTAAAGTTCCAAATTGATGGACATTTAAGCTGTTGCCAAGGCACTCATTTCCTAAGCTAATTAAAAGTCTTCTGTTAAATATTTATCACACACTTCTTCATTTATTCGATACTGAGCACTGACCGTGTGTCTAGTGCTGTGCAAGGCAAAAGGACATGGGTCCTGTCGTCAAGGAGCAGAGAGTCTGAGGGTGAAATGGACCAGGGGAGCTCACAGTACTAGGTGAGCAGAGAAGAGAGGTCGAAACCAAAGCAGGAAGAGATGGGGGCAGGGGCATGGGAGGGGTAGAGGGATTGGCCAGCCACAGAGAAGAAGGAAATGCAGTTCCAAGCAGAGGGAGCGACACATGTCAAGTCTAGTAATAAGACAAACTGAGCACATGTTAGAGAAAATACAAGCAGTTGTACTGGATGAGAGGATGCAAGTGTTAATTGCCCAGTCATGTTCAACTCTTTGTAACCCCATGGACTGTAGCCTGCCAAGCTGCTCTGTCCATGGATTTCATTAGGCAAGAATACTAGAGTGGGTAGCCATTCCTTTCTCCGGGGGATCCAACCCAGGTCGCCTACATTGCAGGCAGATTCTTTACCATCTGAGCCAATGGGAATGCAAGAGGCGAAACTAAGTCTGGAGAGATGGGAGGAACCTGATGATGAGGGGCCTGTTTGTTTGGTGTATTCTCTGAAGTCCAGTGAGGAAGGAAGGTGGCATTAAAGGCTGTTAACAATAAAATACCAAGATTCAATGTATATTTGGCTCAGATCTTTCTGGAAGTGGTATGAATGAACAGTAAGCTAGAGGAGGGTGAGACAAGAGCAGAGGCTAGTGGAGCAAGTGCTGGAGTCACCCCAGGGGAAATGATCAGGACAGTGGGAGCACAGCTGTGCGTGCACATGAATGATACTCAGGAAGGGAGAGTTATAGCTCAGGGTGACTTAAAGGATGGAGATCTGGGGTCTGTCTGCTTTCTGTAGTGGAGCTGTGGACTAAACAAGATGGAAAATTCAAAAGAATGGTAAGAATGGTGCAAGTGGATGGCCACACATGAGGATGTGGGAACACCAACATTTAAAGAATGGACAGGAGGAAAGGAGACATCAGAGAAAATCAGCAAAGGCAGAGACATAAGAGGAAAACCATCAACAGCAGACAGAGTTCCGAGAACAAAGGTATTGTCAACAGTATCATAGTATAGAGAAGTCAGATAAGATAGGGAACTAGAAAGTATTCATTAGCTGTAACTACAAAGTTGTCTTTGACTTTCTCCAGGACTGTTTCAGGGAAGCATTGGTGAAGAGGTCAGATTACAGTGGTTGAGGGATAGATGAGGGGGGTCAAGTGGATTTGGTGATGTGTAGTAACACTGTCCAGAACGTGGGTGTGAAGAGAAGAAAGAGGGGTTTGCTTTCTTATTTTGTTTTGAAAATAGATATGGCTTGAACAAATTTAGATGCATCAAGAGTGAGTTAATAGGGACTTCCCTGGTGGTCTAGTGGTTAAGACTTTGCCTTCCAATGCAGGGGGCGCAGGTTCCATCCCTGGTTAGGGAACTAAGATCCCACATGCCTCGTGGCCAAAAAACCAAAACATAAAACAGAAGCAATATTGTAACAAATTCAATAAACACTTGAAAAATGATCCACATCCTCAAAAAAATGTTTAAGAAAAAAACATGTGCTAGTAAAAGTTTAGTGAAGACATCCTTGGGGAAACAAGTGAAGCACAGAGAAAAAGTGGCCCCTCTCTCCACAGCAATGGGGACAAGACCCTCATGGATGTTGGTGCTAAGTTGGGGTACAGAATGTTGAGGGGAATTCCATCTGGCAGAGCTGCTTTTATTTTCTCTGTCAAATATAAATTATCTGCTGTAAAGAAAGGGTGACACGGAGAAGAAGGAAGATTGAAAGGTGTGGGGTGGTTTGAAAATAGCCACTTTGAGGAATCAGTGGGAGAACAGACATGTATACTTTCTTGCTGACATTGAAATGTCAGTTAAGGAGCCCATGAACCAGGTAGTGGTAGGAATCTGTGTGGGTATGGGATTTCTCCAGTCCCACCCAGATACTGAAGTATGAAATTGTCCATTGGCCCCACTAACTAGGGTTTTAAATATATTCTTTCTTCTAGGGATTTTTTGAACTGATACCACAGGATCTCATCAAAATTTTTGATGAAAATGAACTAGAGGTAAGAAATATTGCTCTTAAAACAGGACTTTTGTACCCCTGATTTTTCTTATCTACAGTTTGACATTTCTTCTTATGTAGCTTCTGATGTGTGGCTTGGGAGATGTGGATGTGAATGACTGGAGAGAGCACGCAAAGTACAAAAATGGCTACAGCATAAATCACCAAGTCATCCAATGGTTTTGGAAGGTAATAGAAGGCTTGCATTTTCTTGAGTTACTTCTTGATAGATTCAATCATATTTACCTATACTAGTGGATCACATGTAGATAAGACAAAAAATATATTGGGTTGACCAAAAAAGTTTGCTTGGTTAGGGAATATGTTATTCAATTAAGTTGTTGGTGAAAATGAAAAATATGTTCTTAAATTTTACTTTTAAACCGAATTAACTTTTTGGCCAACCCAGTATATAGCCCCACAAAAATTTTTTATTTCGTACTATATACATTTACCTCCATACATACTTATTTGCAGATAAGTAAAATGTAGTAAGTGGCAGTGTTACCTGAGATCAGCTCTTGGTTCCTTACTAAAATGAAGGGATTCTTCAAGGGAACTTGTAACCTGCAGTATATTCTCTGGGACTCCTGTTTGGCTTCTTGGAATGTGATAGAGAAATGTGTATGCCAGTAAATACAATTTTTAAATAATAATTCCAGTAAATACAATTTTTAAAAAGCCACATAGTCACATCCAAGAGGAGATTTTGTCACTGTGTTAGGCTATAACCCCATTCTAAACAGTTACCATAAAGCCTTGGAAATGGAGTCTCACGAACTTTGTAAACTACTGTAAACATAACTTGAAGTAAAGGAAACATGCAAATTTCATAAGTGATGATTCAGGCTCTAACTAAACTCTGGTAACATATTTTTCAGGGTAGTTTTGTTAACATTTTTTCCAGTGATGTTCCTAAATGCTGCTTTTATTTTATGCAGGCAGTTTTAATGATGGACTCAGAAAAAAGAATACGATTACTTCAGTTTGTCACTGGCACATCCCGTGTGCCTATGAATGGATTTGCTGAACTGTATGGTATGAATTTTCCATAGATCATTAAAAAATGGAGCTGATGCCAGTTGTCTTTTTCATGACTGACTAGTCTTCAGTCTTCTTTCATGTATACAAATTTTTAATTAGTTAAAAAGAATTCATAGTTTTAAATAATTACAGTTAGATACACTGCAGAAGGTCAAAATATATGTATACACCTTCTATTTTGTTGTTGTTGTTTGTTGTTCAGTTGCTAAATCATGTCCAGCTCTTTGCAAGCCCATGAACTGCAGCATGCCAGGCTTCCCTGTCCTTCACTGTCTCCGGGAGTTTGCTCAAATTCATGTCCATTGAGTCAGTGATGCTGTCTAACCTTCTCATCCTCTGCTGCCCTCTTCTCCTTTTGCCTTCAGTCTTTCCCAGCATCAGGATCTTCTCCAGTGAGTCAGCTCTTCACATTAGATGACCAAAGTACTGGAGCTTTAGCATCAAAGTACTTCAGCTTTAGCAGAAGTCCTTCCAATGAATATGCAGGGTTGATTTCCTTTAGGATTTACTGGTTTGATCCCCTTGCAGTCCAAGGGACTCTCAGTGAGATAGCAAAAGAGAAAACTAAACACAGGAAGTGATTCAAGTTACTTTCCATTCTTGAATTTTAAATTTGATTCTCACTCTGTATTTTGTTACAGAAAAAACATTGCCCGTGGTATGATGGTTTAAGATAGACAGCATATAAAGTTCCACGGGGTGTTAATAAGTGTATAACAAAATACAGAATGTATCATAGTAGAATACATTTGGGGGAAAGAATGGAATAAACAAAGTTAAATATTCTGTTTATTGGAATGGCATGTACTTGCTTTTAAGGATACCAAGAAAACAACTCTTTCAGAGGAGGTATAGCCAAGATCGGAGCCCTTCTATCCCCTCCTTGGCCTACGTGGTTTCCTTGTTAAGCTTAACTGAACATCTGTTTGCAGAACCTGTCAGGCAGCTGCCCCTTCTCTCCCAAGGAGAAGGATGAGACTCAACAACATGTTCATTCCCCACCTGACTGGATTTGTCTTTCCAGTGGTTTCCCCTGACTTACATTCCATTCTCTCCTCCTGCTCTTTAACCAGTTAGTAGAGAAAATCAAAGCAGGGCAGGCACCCCCTCCATCTCTAGCTCCTCTTATATGCAGCCCAGACCTACATTCACCCACTGATGGCATGCACTTTTTTGGAATTTGGAGGAGATATTTCACATAGTGGCTTCCCTGGTGGCTCAGATGATAAAGAATTTGCCTATGATGCAGGAGCTCCAGCTTCGACCTCTGGTTCAGGAAGATCCTCCGGAGAAGGGAATGGCTATCCACTCCAGTATTCTTGCCTGGGAAATTCTATGGACAGAGGGACCTGGCTGGTTACAGTCAATGGGCTTGCAAAGAGTCAGACACAACTAAGCAACTAACACACTATCTCATACACAGGTCCAGAGTTATTAGTGTTAGACTATAAATTCAAATTCTTATGGATTTACAAAAGAAGTAGAAGTTGCTTCAGAATGTTAATATTACAATACAGTATTATCTAGCCAATAAAAAGTATGTTACGGGGACTTCCCTGGCAGTTCACGCTTCCACTGCAGGGGTTTGATCCCTTCCACTCGGGTTTGAGCCCTGTTTGTGGAACTGGGATCCCATATGAAGTGTGGCTTAGCCCCCCAAGAAAGAAGAAGCAGGTTACATTTATATTGGTTGACTTAATAGGGAGTTTTTCAAATGGAGTGTTAAGGTGAGAGAATCAAGAGGCAGGAAAATATATATGAATCCATGTTGTGGAAAATACAATGACAAAAGTACTAAATTTTAACTGTAGATATAATTGTGATGGGTGATGTGTGAACAGCAGTGCTTTTTGAGAAAACAGTAACATGGAAAATAGTATTTTTAGTACTGCTTCTGACAGTTATACTCTCACACATGTGTTTGGATATGAGTCTAAGACATAGAGAAAAGTATGGAAGGTGACTCATTGGGTTGTTACCACTGATGACCTGGGAGGTTGGAGGATGTTGAGAATTGCAAAAGGAATAATTGAGTAAAACTCCAAAGGAAGAAAAAGTTTCTCAGAATGTTCATAATAAGAGAAAAAGGTAGCATGTATAAATGATCCCATGCACATAAAATTCTATACATATGTAAATGCAGAAAAAGATTAATAATAGGATGTTTACTTAGATTTAACAGTGGAATTTCAGGTGATCTTTACATCTTTCATTGTATAATCTTACTGCAAAAAAATAAATCAATAGAGAAAAATAATTTTAAAAAAATTAAAGCTATTTTCAGTGGGACTAAAAAAAAATGCCCATTTTCTGTGTACCTAAGATAGAGGTGCAGGGCTGGGGAACAGCAAAAGTCCCGTTAGACATGCCCCCCAGGTCAGAGTGATACCGTGACCACAGACGAACTGATAGGAGTCCTCATTTCATAGCTGGACAGTAAAGTCATGAGCCCAAGACAGTATTATTTCTTTTGAATTTAAAGAAACTAGATGAATTATCTGTGTGTTTTAAGTGCTGCATTAGCAAAAGTGAGTTGTGAAATGTTCAGGAGCTCCTATAAAGGCTAAATGAAACCAAAGTAACTTCTCTTTCTTGTAGGCTCAAACGGACCACAGTCATTTACAGTTGAGCAGTGGGGCACGCCTGAGAAGCTGCCAAGAGCTCATACCTGGTAAGCAGTTTCTTTGACCCTCGAGAACCAAGTCTTCAGAGAGAGAAGGTCCTCTCACAGTCTAGACACAGAAGGTCAGGTCCTCTCACAGTCTAGACACAGGTCTAGTTCCCTCTATGCTGTGTTGGTGGCAGATAAGGAGGTGGGGAATGGGAGGGAGAGGATGGAGAGACAGTGAGACTAACTCAGGAACAGGTGTTTCTTTACCAGGCAGGCTTGGACTTTAAGTCTAGGTTGCTGAACACTGGAGAGACACATCTGAACTGTTGATGATATGTTGCCTCCATCACATGAATGATAAGCCATTCCACAAAGGGCTAGAACATTCGCTCTTGAAGTTTCAAATGACAGGAACCCAGACATTTGGAGGTCAGGGTGGAGGTGAGAGGTTACCACCAAGAAGTCATGAAGAGAGTCCATACCTTGAGTCCAATCCTAGACCTTCCTTCTCCCTGAGAAGAAAAGGTCTTTTCCTGTTGTTGGAACATTCAGTCACAAATAGCTGTACTGGGAATAGTTTGCCCTGGGAACTTTGTCACTTTTTCACTGTCTGTCATAACCAGCCTCTCTCTGTTCTTTCAGCTTTAATCGCCTGGACTTGCCACCCTATGAGTCATTTGAAGAATTGTGGGATAAACTTCAGATGGCCATTGAGAACACTCAGGGTTTTGATGGCGTTGATTAGATGTCAAGTAACCATGTATGGTGTTTTACTGCCACTTTTTTTTAGAGCAAAATCTTGACTTAAAATTTTCCAGGGAACTACTAATCCTTGGCCATTGATGCTTCTCAGATATTGGAGAAAATCATGTCAATGAATCAGAAGAAATAGTATTGACAAATTTTCCATTATTTCATTCATTTTAATAATGTGTTGCATTTACATAGTTGTTTTGTTCTATTTTGAGTTCACACCCAAGGATTTAAGTCCTGTGTGCCTGAAATAGTGAGTTTTGTCCTTGGTTTTACCTCTTTAACAGTATTTGCCAGGCAGTTCTTTCTTAAACTACTGAAATGATAACTGTGAATACCTGTGATAAGTGTCATGTGTGAAAAGTGTGATTTTTTTGAGAAGGAGAACTGAAATTTGGGGGAAAAAAACTTCAATACTGAGTACACGACAATATATTCAGTGCTGCCTGCAGCTAGTTATTATTTTTTAGACCTGCCTACTGCACGTGCAGTAACAGGTTTTTGTAAAAATTTTGCAAGGTGTGTTACCTATATTTTCAGTCAACTGATTAACTTACAAAAAGCTGTTTACTTCTTCATTTTAAAAGTATTTGGCTTTTGTTAGTACACAGTTTTACTAAACAAGGTAGTTCATAGGACATGTGAAGCAAATTCAGATTTGCGAAGGTTGAAAGGTATCAGTGCCTCCCTCTTGCCTGTATATCCTATGGCTCATTGATAAAGCCATTATTCTTTACTGTTTTCATTTAGTTAAAAGAATTCCTTCTTCAAACTAAAGCTTGACAAAGCAGTATTCCTAAATATGCCTTGAAGAACTAAGTTAAATGTGTAATACTTGCCTTTACTAGTCATTCTTTACACTTGCACAATTATGTAGTACTTATATGTTTACAGGGTTTATTATGTTTACAGATTAAGCTAATTTCTGTAGTTGCATTTTTATATTTTTAGTATTTCACTTTAGTCAAGAAAACCAAATAATTTGTTAAAAATTACCAAAGAATAGTTACAGTGTATCATTTGTATTAAATTTATTACCATGTTTCTTATGCTTTTTAAAAAACTGTTTACTATGAAAATAATGTTTTGCTATAAATCCAAAACTCTTTAGGCAAAATGCTAAAGATAGACTTCTACTTTAGCTAAATAGAAGTACATAAAAATCCTGTGCATGCATTCAACAAAGGTTTACTGAATGCCTGCGATATGCATAGCTCTGTCTAAGCCAAAGGGTGAGAGTTACCAGCTTCAAAGAAATCCATCCCCATCCTCAAGGAACTTAGAGACGTGTAAAGGAATTTTGAAACAATCAAAAGTCAGGGTGAGCAGAATAAGGCGAAAGGGAAAGTGTTTTAGTGCACCTGGAAAGGTAAAGTGTGCCAAGGCTGTATTTATATACTTTATACCTGTATTGGAATGATTGTATAGAAAAATGCTCTTGAAAAAGGTTAAAGCTATTTCTCAATATGGTATTTTGGTGATTTAGGGATAATTGTAAATATATGTTATGAATCTTCTGAAATACACACACACACACTCCAAGAGGTGTAAAAAGTGTATCCGGCTGTTGGTTACAGTTTGCTGGGGTCTAATACCATGTGTACTTTTCAGCACCTGGTAGCGATCTCATAAGTGACAGAAGCAAAACCACTTTCCAAACATCACATCAACAGCCCAGCTTAGAGAAAGTAATTCACAGATCCGTGCACCCTCTGTCTTATCTTCTGTGTTAAACAGCTTTCAGGGGAAACACCCTGTTTTTATCACTTACCAAATGTTTAAACTGAAGCAACATACTTCACCTCTCTGGGTTCCTGGTTCTTCATCTGTCAAAGGAAAATAACCATGCATCACACTCTCATTGTCATGTAAGATTGTTGTCAGTTCCAGAGAGATGCTCTGTAAAGTCTCATACAATCAGAAGGTACTTTGTGCCGGCCATCAGATTTTGTCAAATCAGATGTGAACATGAACCACACTCCCAAAGAGAAATCTCTTCATTTAAACATGAATTGACTGCTAACAGACAAGGCAGGATCATCTCTGGTATTGAATACATACAAATATATGTATACATATTTTTATCTGTATATGGATCTTACCATCAGAATTCATTTTCTCCACATGAGCAAAGTAATGTTAAGATGAGCCAATGCATTTTGGAATGTTCTCATTATGTAGAACTGAACGTGAAAACTGCTTTTGTTAAAAAAGGATTTTACCACATGATTGTTTAAATATCACTTCTGTCAAATATGGCAGATATCAGACCTTGAGAAAATATATAGCTTGCTTTTCATCTGACTCATTCACTTGGATGATTCTGTGACTCAGATAAAACAGCGTGTTAATAAGACCAGAAACTCCCACCAGCACCCAGCCATAGACCAGCATCTGCTTCATTTTCCAGTTATGCAGTGATGGTCTGAAAGGAACCTGTATCAAGCAACACAGCCCCTCATCCCAAACAGCAAAGTATCTCAAAACGCATTCTACAGCTGGAAGTAAATAGGGTCATTTTCTTAAAGCAAGGATGTCATATTTTTCTAGAACTTATAAGCACATAATTTTAGCCTATATTTTCTCTGTAATCAAACAAATTTTAATGGACATAAAATTGTATTACAAATGCATTTCATCCTAATTTAAATGGTTTTATTTGTTTTAATTTTTTATTTATAATGCTGAAATTCCAGAGAATTATCAAGTCAAACAACTCTTTTGAATTATAAGCCACTTGACATTGTTTTCTAAAATCTTCTCATATGGGAAAAATATTACCAAGATTAATGTATCAAAATTTATTGCATACTTTAAAATATAAAACCATTTTTAAAAATCTTGATACCATAAATAAAGTTCTATTCTAGCAAAAACAAAAACTGTGACTTATTTTTCAAATAGAACTATTTCCAAGCCATTATCCTTGGTGATAGTTCCTGATCCAGTTCTTTGCAGCAACACAAAGAATTCTCAAGATGACCTTGAATTTATAGCAGATGATGTAGCATGATTATAAACTCAACCGCAGAGAATCTCCACTTTACAGACAAGTCATGTTCCCAAAATCTGGTTGTTAGTAAACTATCCGGAAGACAATATAATAGTATACAAATGGACTAGATTTCAGACTTGCTATTCATTCAAGATGAGCACAATAAAGGACAAAAATGGTATGGACCTAACAGAAGTAAAAGATATTAAGAAGAGGTGACAAGAATACACAGAAGAACTGTACAAAAAAGGTCTTAATGACCCAGATAACCATCATGGTGTGATCACTCACCTTGAGCCAGACATCCTGGTATGTGAAGTCAAGTGGGCCTTAGGAAGCATTACTACGAACAAAGCCAGGGTAAGTTATGGAATTCCAGCTGAACTATTTCAAATCCTAAAAGATGAGGCTGTTAAAGTACTGCATTCAATATACCAGCAAATTTGGAAAACTCAGCAGTGGCCACAGTACTGGAAAAGGTCAGTTTTCATTTCAACTCCAAAGAAAGGCAATGCCAAAGAATATTCACACTGCCATACAATTGTGCTCATTTCACATGCTAGCAAGATTATGCTTAAAATCCTTTAAGCTAGGCTTCAATGGCACGTGAACCAGGAACTTCCAGATGTTCAAGCTGAATTTAGAAGGCAGAGGAACCACAGATCAAATTACCAACATTACTGGATCATAGAAAAAGTAAGGGAATTCCAGAAAAACATCTGCTTCATTGACTGTGCTAAAGCCTTTAACTGCATGAAAACAAATTGTGGAAAATTCTTTAAAAGATGGGAATACCAGGCCACCTTACCTGCCTCTTGAGAAACCTGTATACAGGTCAAGAAGCAACAGTTAGAACTGGACATGAAACAACAGACTGGTTCCAAATTGAGAAAGGAATACGTCAAGGCTGTATATTGTCACCCTGCTTATTTAACTTATATGCAGAGTACACCATGTGAAATGCTGGGCTGGATAAAGCACAAGCTGGAATCAAGACTGCTGGGAGAAATATCAATAACCTCAGATATGCAGATGACACCACCCTAATGGTAGAAAGCAAAGAGTAACTAAAGAGCCTCTTGATAAAGGTGAAAGAGTAGAGTGGAAAAGCTGGCTTAAAACTCAGCATTCAAAAAATGAAGATCATGGCATCTGGTCCCATCATTTCATGGCAAATAGATGGGGGGGAAATAGAAACAGTGACAGACTTTATTTTCTTGGGCTCCAAAATCACTGTGGACTGTTACTGCAGCCATGAATTAAAAGACACTTGCTCCTTGGAAGAAAAGTTATGACCAACCTAGACAGCATATTAAAAAGCAGAGACATTACTTTGCTAACAAAGGTCCATCTAGTCAAAGCTATTGCTTTTCCAATAGTCATGTATGGATGTGAGAGTTGGACTATAAAGAAAGCTGAGCACCGAAGAACTGATGCTCTCTGACTATGATGCTGGAGAAGACTTTTGAGAGTCCCTTGGACAGCAAGGAGATCAAACCAGGCAATCCTAAAGGAAATCAACCTCAAATATTCATTGGAAGGACTGATGCTGAAGGTCCAACACTTTGGCTACCTGATGCAAAGAGTCAACTCACTGGAAAAGACCTTGATGGTAGGAAAAATTGAGGGCAGGAGGAGAAGGCGGCGACAGAGGATGAGATGGTTGGATGGCATCAGTGACTCAATGGACATGAATTTGATCAAATTCTGGGAGATAGTGAAGGACAGGGAAGCCTAGTGCGCTGCAGTACATGGGGTTGCAAAGAGTCAGACCTGACTGAGTAACTGAAGAACAATTCATTCAAGAGGCCTGTCATATAATGTATTTATAACATTGTTTGTATGAGAAAAGGAGTTCCCGGTTTTAATTCAGAACTAAGTGTCTTTTCATCCTTCCTCTGGATACCTGGAAGGGAATCCAACACCCAACCCCTATCAGCGCTGGGAATGTATTGTTCTAGCCCTGTTTCTATTAAAATCACGACTGTAGTTTTAAT